CAACTTAAGTGTTTAGAAAAGATGGACCGTACTGCAAAAGCTGACTTAGAAAGGTAAACTGTTTCATAAATGTATTGCATATATATATATATATATATATATATATATATATATATATATATATATATATATTATTTTAGGATATCTATGTGTTAAGTTATATGTGTCAATGTGTGTTAAGGTACCCTCCAAGGTTGTGGTGCAAGGCTTTCTTTAGGACATTTGTTAAGTGTGATGCTGTAGATAACAATTTGAGTGAGGCTTTTAATGACACTTTGGTGAAAGCAAGAGTGAAGCCCATTATCCCTATGTTGGAAGACATAAGAATAGGGGTGATGAAGAGGATTGCAAAAAAAAGGAAAGATGTTGAAAGGTGGACAGGAAATTATGGACCCTTGGTAATGAAGAAACTAACTTCAAACATAGGTGAAAGTATGGTATGGAAGGTAATTACATTATCTCTTTCATTACTGTCTCATTGCCTTCCTTTTAATTATATTGTGCAATGCCCACTGCCAGTAAAGATGACTCTTTAATTATATTCTAACTTGATTATTATATTATACTAGGTTGATTTCAATGGAGATGACGGTTATGAAATTAAGAAAGGAAGACAACAATTCAAAGTGAAACTTGCAGGTAGAAGCTGCTCATACAACTCATGGGATCTTTCTGGTATACCATGTCCACATGCAATTTGTGCAATCTTTGATACTGAAAGGGACCCAGAAGGATACTTGCTCCAATACCAAAAAAGATGGCAGGTAGACCAAAAAGAAAAAGAAATCGTGAGGCCAATGAAGTCCCAACTCGTCAGAAGCCATCCACTACTACTACTACCATGGGCAGTGTCAAGACAAGGGTATCGAAAAGGGGAAAACAGATGCATTGTTCTCTTTGTAAGAACCCGGGCCATTATAAAAGAACATGCCCTAATAAGAGTGGCCAACAAGATGTTGAACCAATGAACTGACAAGCAAACTATCATAAACTTTTTTGTTATTTGCCAAACAAACTTTTTTGGTACTATTGCCATTTGAATCTTTTTTGACTGTTTTATGTACTTAGGTGTTGAATTATGCCTTTGGCAATATGTAAACAATGGCAAAAAATCTCAGTTGGCAACATGTAAACAATGGCAAAAATTTTGATTTGGCAACTATGTGAATGAAAATGTATGGTTGTGCTTTATGATTGGCAGATTGGAATTTTATGATTGGCAGGATGGCTTCTTGATACAACTTTTGTAATTGTTATACTTTGGCAGATGCTTCATACATTTTCATATTATATTGACAGATTCTTTGTGGAAAAATATTTACCAAAGTCATATTCTTTCAATATGATTGCTGCCTTTGTGATGAGAGGCAAGAAACCACATTGCATATTATTTTCATTCCATTGCCAGTTAAATTAGTTTTAAGACATGCATCCTATATAGTAGTTTTATATGATGAACATGCTAAGAAAAAAACAGGATGTTCCATATATAAAATCATACTGTCATTATACATCACAGTGGAATAACACAACTCCGATCTAATCCAAATATTATCAAATGTTCAAATCCGATTTAATCTGACAATCAGATATACCCGACCGAACCCGAAATTATTTTCATTCCATTGCCAGTTAAATTAGTTTTAAGACATGCATCCTATATAGTAGTTTTATATGATGAACATGCTAAGAAAAAAACAGGATGTTCCATATATAAAATCATATTGTCACTATACATCACAGTGGAATAACACAAATCTGATCTAATCCAAATATTATCAAATGTTCAAATCCGATTTAATCCGACAATCCGATATACCCGACCGAACCTGAAATTAGGATAATCCGATGGGTTTAGGATATTTTTTTCTCGGATTGGATTATAAATTTTTAAACCGAAATCTGAAGGGGTTGTGCTTCCGAAAAATCGATTCGTCCCAACCTGCCCGACGCACACCCCTACTTGTCACACCTCTCTTTGTGTTCGCTGTGATAATCACAATTCTTTCATTCAAAATTTGGAAACAAAAAGCTCTACTTATAGACAGAGGTATTGACAGTGCTAAGAGAACAGATTACCCTACTTCCTATACTGATGATCATCAACTTCAGACAAAGGAGCCTCTTAGCATCAACATCGTAGCATTTGAACACACTCTATTGAGACTCAAGAACGCAGCTATCGTCTCTGCCACAGACAATGGAAGATTGCCAAGGGGCCGAGTTATCGCTGTCAAGAGGCTCTATGGAGGCCGGGAGATCCATGGAGACCGCGAATTCTTTGCTGAAATGGAAACTCTCGGAAAGGTGAAGCACGAAAATCTGGTGCGCGTTTGAAGATGAGACTCAAGCACGCAGTTATCGTCACCGGCAGTGACAACTTTAGCAGGAGCTATATCATTGGAAATGGCGGCTTGGGGACAACATACAAAGGAAGATTTCCAAGGGGCCGTATTATCGCTATCAAGAGGCTCTATGGAGGCCGGGAGATCCATGGAGACCGCGAATTCTTTGCAGAAACGGAAACCATCTCGGAAAGGTGAAGCACGAAAATCTGGTGCCATTGGTTTGCTATTGCCCGTTTGAAGAAGCGTATTTCTTATTTATATTTTTAATATTTTTTTCCCCAATTTTGTTTCCTTTTTTCTTTTTCTATTTTTTTTTTTTTTTTTTTTTTTTTTTGCTGAGTGGCAAGTCAAATGTGTAAAGATTTTGCCTAGTCAGCGTCTACAAAGCATTTTACCTGAGATTGCAGGTGGTTAACCGGTCAGTGGGTCTTCTTGCACCGAGATTAAGAGTTCGTGTGTCTAATTGCAACTTTAGAAAGTTGGAGGGCCTAATTGACTCCTTATGAAAAGTTAGAGGGCCTATTTGACCCTTTTCCCTTGATTTTAATATGTAGAAATAATAATCATAATAATAATACGGAGTAATAGATAAATAAATAATGTTGAAATCTATCATTTTCATTTTCGAGCAATTTGCGAATCCCTATTATTTAATTGCTAGATATGCTTTCTTAATTTAATAACAACTTGCTGGCAAGTGGTAAGTAGACGTTGCAATGAAACTTTTCATATTGGAATATTATATCTATCAACTTTAATAATAATATAATTAAATATTGGATGTGACTATGTGCTTGTTTGGTTACGATTATTGGTGGATTTGTTAAAATTTTGACAAATTTATCATTTTAACATTTTAATTTTCGTCAAAACGTCAAATAAATTGTTTGGTAATTTCAGATTTGGAAAGTAAACTGTTGAGAGGTTTAATTTGACGTTTTAGGGAAAGATTAATTATTAAAAAAAAAAAAAACTAAAGAACTACCTTAAATTAAGGGGCTTTTTGGCTTCTCTTATAAAGAGGAGCTAAAGAGCTCACCTTTCAAACATTTTAGACATGGGATCAAAACGTCATTTATAAAGGGGAGTCCGACTTTATTTTATTTTTTTAAATATATTTTTGTTTAGTATTCTTATTATTATTGTTGTTGTTGTTATTGTAAATTTTATTTTATCGGGTGACGCAAATATTCGAATCCATGATCTTTGCATAGAGTCAACTTTTATACCAAATTAAAACATATGCTTCATCTCAACTACAAATCTAAATAGATAATTAAATTGCGCACACACAATCACACACACACACACACACATATATATATATATATATATATATATATATATATATATATATATATATATATATATATATTATGCTTAACACATTCAATTTGACAATGACATGGCCATGGGCCACCAAGAACAATGGTGTAGTGGCCTTCTTTTCATTGTGCCATCGACTGCGAATGATGGCCTTTGTTCTTTTCTATGATCACCACTCACCAGATAATGATGACCTCGTCTACATAGGTAATTTAGTTAGATAATTAATATTCAATTAGTAGATTGACACTCACGGGAGATTACTGATTCACTATGATTTATTCATCTACTATTACGTCGAAGTTAAGTAACAAGACCATAGAAGTAGGGGTGCCCAAGGTTCTGCTTCAATTCGGAATCGTCGATTTGCGGTTTCAAGATAGCCGGAACCGGAATCGAAACCTTATTTAGGTGGTTCCTGTCCAGTTCCGAAACCTACGATTTTAGTTAGACGCGCCGTTTCTAATCAATTTTTTTTTAATGTTACTTACTTAATGCTTAGTGCTTACTCTGTATTTAGACTTCAATATTATATTTATAGAATATATATATATATATATATATATATATATATATATATATATATGATATTTTACACAGTTCCAAACTGGAACCGTTAGTAAAACAACCAACTCGAACCGGAACCAGAACCATACGTCCAAAATCAGAATTGTGCGTACGATTTTGATTCTGGTTCGGTTCGAACCGGACGATTGGAATCGAACCGCGGATACCCCTACTTAAAAGGCTATTGATAGCTGAGTATGAACACTCGACTTTAATCTCTCCACCTATGAGATTATTGAGTTACCATGATTTATCCATCCATGCATAATTGTGATGGGGCAGAGTAATGAGACATTAGGATCGAAGACATCACCTTTTGCACCTTGGTAAGGATGGCCTTTTATATTTTAGACTGGAAACTCGCAACAAGTTTTTTTTTTTGAAAATACTGGAAGGGGAACCCCAAAACCGGCTAGCTCCCGGTTCTCAAGCTATTCTTGAAGTGCATAATATCAACTCTATCCTTCTCAAGGATATCACAAATATCACTCGGAGCTTAAGAGGACTCTTGAACTTGATTCAATGGCATATCTTCCTGACCGGAACAGGCCTATTTGAGCCTGTGGAGCCAACTAGCCATCAACTTGGACCTTGGTCTAACCATGGTTAAGATGGAATTTAACTATGGATAAACTCATGACCCATACGACAACATCGTAGGCGCAAAACGACAGAGCCCAGTACCCCGAACAAACCGCATCCATCGGAGCTATATTTATATTTATATATATACGAGTCAGAGTCCAATTCCCAAACGATTCTCTTCTTCCCCCTTTAGATTTTTTATTTTTTTCTTCTCTTTTACTAGCCTTTCTATTTTTAATCTCAGGGAGAGGGAAGCCAAAAGCATAACCAAAATCGGATTTTTACCTCTCCAATTCAACCATGGCTATCTCTAGCTGCTCCACGGTGTTTCCCTCGTTCGAGTGCCGCTCGGATCCGGACTTTTCGGGCCGGGTTCCGCGTCACGAGTGCCCCGGCGCCGGCCTGCGCCCTAACTCACTGAGTCAGGGATCTAGAGGCTACGGTCTGTCTTCTCTGATCCTCAGGTTCCCGCCCAACTTCGTGCGCCAGCTCAGCATCAAGGCTCGGAGGAACTGCAGCAACATCGGCGTGGCGCAAATCGTGGCGGCTTCGTGGTCCAACAACAAGGCCGCCTCTGGCATCCCCCCGGCGGCTAAGGCACTAGATGCCGCCGCCGCCGCCATTTCCCCTCCTGAGGTTTCAAGCCCTGTGGCTGAGGAGGAGGTGGTGTTGGTGGATAATGGTAGTTGTAGTGACCCAAATGTACAGATTCAGGATTTGGCCCATGCCAATTACGCTTCATTTTTGAGTTCAGATGGGAGCGTTGCAGTTCATGCCGGTATGCTCCTCTGCTCTGTTTTAGATTTGAATCTAATGGTTAAGCAATAATGGATTTTTTGCACGTTATGTGTTTGATGATATTGCTCTGAAGGGAGATCTGTTTATAGAAATGAAATTAAAGAAGCTGTTTTTTTGTTCATATTGCTATCTAGAACTTCTAGACTGAGGATTGTATTATTAAGTTGAAATGTGGATTATGTTTATACCACATGTATATATAAAGTTATCTCATTTGTAGTATTGACTTTGAGATTACGTCTGTGTATGTGTATATGGATTTTGAGTAATAAAGGAGTCTATTCTTGTTTTCTGCAGGTGAAAGATTGGGGCGAGGTATTGTTACTGATGCAATAACAACTCCTGTTGTTAACACGTCTGCTTATTTCTTCAACAAGACTTCAGAGCTCATTGATTTCAAGGTAATTGCTGTCATCATGTTTCCTTGCTTAGATGTTCAATGTTTGCACCATGATAAACAGATGCACAAACTAATGGTCTGGGTAGAGATTGCTGGATAATAGGAAAGCCAGTTTAGGAAGTGCTGGGTTAATTTCTGAGTTTGTGGGATGTGTTAGTTCAGGAACATGCTATGCACTGTTGAAAATAAGGTCATTTAGTATGGTAAGCCAAGTTTGTTGCATGGATTAATTTGTTTATGGTGATTTGATCTCTGGCAGGAGAAAAGACGTGTAAGTTTTGAATATGGCCGCTATGGGAACCCTACTACTATTGTTGCAGAAGAGAAGATAAGGTCAGCTCTCTATTTGATGCATTTACTTGTGGTGGCATATATGTGATTTGATATTTTGAGGCCATTTGGTTCTTTCTTACTGGAACAGTGCGCTGGAGGGAGCTGAATCAACCTTGTTAATGGCATCTGGAATGTGTGCTAGTACTGTAATGTTGCTGGCATTGGTCCCTGCTGGTGGGCATATAGTGACAACCACTGATTGCTATAGAAAAACCAGGATATTCATAGAGACAGTACTTCCTAAAATGGGGATCACGGTAAAATAATACTTCCTCTCCCCATCTGTACTACTACTTGCTTATTTCTATCATTGTTTTGGTTCATTTTTAATCTTCTGAAGTGTATCAATTTTGTATGCAGGCTACAGTCATTGATCCTGCTGATATGGATGGTCTGGTGTCTGCATTAAATAAAAATAAAGTCAGTTTTGGAAATCATTATAAGCTTCCCTTTAACTTGTTTAAAGCTATAAGATTTAAGTAACAGTCCATCCTTATTGACCAGCATAGTTCTTCTCTGCAGGTGAGCCTTTATTTCACAGAATCTCCGACAAATCCATTGTTCAGATGTGTTGACATTGAGCTGGTTTCAAGGCTTTGCCATGAAAAAGGTGCCTTGGTTTGCATAGATGGAACATTTGCTACTCCTCTCAACCAAAAGGCCTTAGCTCTCGGTGCTGACCTTGTTCTGCATTCCGCAACAAAATTCATTGGGGGACATAATGATGTATGCTGATGTTACTGCTAGTGTTTTTAGCTACCATGTACTCCTATTTGTTATGTATTGACCAGTTTCATCTAAGCTAAATGCATTTCTTGTTGCAGGTACTGGCAGGATGCATTAGTGGACCTGAAAAGTTGGTTTCAGTTGTTCGTAACTTGCATCATATCCTGGGCGGTACTCTTAATCCTGTGAGTGTTCTTAATTGATGTTCTGATGTTTGATTTTTCTATATTTTCTTGAGACTATTTAGCTAAAATATAATTTTAAATGGGTGAATATGTTCCATATTCACTGTGTTTTGCTAGTTGTGCTTGAATTTTATGTTACCGAATTACTTACATTCAATTTTCATTGATTTATTAGAATGCTGCATATCTTATCATCCGAGGCATGAAAACGCTGCATCTTCGTGTACAGCAACAAAACTCAACAGCATTGAGGATGGCCGAAGTTTTAGAGGCCCATCCAAAGGTATAGTAATTAGATCTTTTCTAGTCCAAATGGATCTTAAAAACTGTTGCAAGTAGTGAATTTTTGTGTTTTTTTTTTTTTTTAAAAAATTATTTTTTAGATAAATAAATATAATTACATAACACTCTAACAAGAGTAGAAGAACAGTAAAGCAAAATAATCATATAATGAAAGCTAAATTTTGTTTTTCATTTTAATGACAAGACATTTTGAATAAACAAAAGCTTCTTGCAGAGCAATGCTCCTTTCCATTTTTACTTTCTTTCGTTTTCTAAATTTGTTTCAGTAGAATTGATTCTTGAAAATGAGTTGCAGGTGAGACGTGTCTATTATCCTGGCTTGCCAAGCCATCCGGAACATCACATTGCAAAGAAGCAAATGACTGGGTTTGGTGGTGTTGTCAGTTTTGAGGTCTGTATTTCTCTAAGCTTCAGACAACCATTTATATTCACTCACACACTTCTTTTACAAAAGCTAATAAGGATGTCATTGATTAGATTGATGGGGACCTGATGACCACTGCAAAATTTGTGGACGCACTGAAAATTCCATACATTGCCCCATCCTTTGGTGGATGTGAGAGCATCGTGGACCAGCCCGCAATTATGTCTTATTGGTATGTACATATTCTACCCTCAACCCCCATGACACTGACACTGCCCCTGACTGGAACTTTGTTGAACACAATATTGCAACCCGGAGATTGCATTCTCAGTCTGATAGTTTCATAATTAGATCCTAAGTGGGTTTAAAAACCCGAGCTTTCCACGCATCAAGCATGCCCCATCTTCACCTTCTCTGATTGATTATTTTATCTTTGATGCATTTGGAAACAGGGATCTTACTCAGGCAGAAAGGGCGGCGTATGGAATCATGGACAACTTGGTTCGATTCAGCTTCGGGGTGGAGGACTTTGAAGACGTGAAAGCTGATGTTCTTCAGGCTCTAGAGACCATATAGGGCGTCTGACCTTGCAATTTGTTCTTCCCCTTTCCGTGCTTTTCCCATTTCTGTTTTAGTCATTCTAGTTGGTTTGCTTGTTTCTTTTACTTAGATTGTTGAATTCGCACTTTGTTCGCCGTTCCCAATTCGATCAAATGTTATCTGCTTCCTCTTTTGAACTGTGCAAGTGTGCTACACTCCTCTTTCTTGTATGATTCTTAACATTAACTGAATGGAGTGTATGTAAAGCATTTGCAAAAATGGATAATTGCTTGCAGAGAATCTCCGTGGCATATTCTCCCATGATGCTTGAGGATAACAGAGAATCCCCATGGCATATTCTCAGCCAGTATTAAGAATTAATTAGGCTGATTTGACAGAGAATTTGAAACTCATAATTAACATTATATATGGATATGTTTTCACACACTCCACTCAAAACCCAGAGGTTTCAACATGAAACGAAACATATATGAACAAAGCAAAAATGTCAGATTCAACATAACATATATGCAAGCAAACCTTTTGCGGAATCTGTTCTGTTCAAGAAAGGGATATATAGATGAAGGGTCATGCAAAGAAGGTCTCAGGTGCAAAAGTAAGGAGAAATTTGAGCTTTTGATCTGTCCAGATCAACTGTTCTAAAAAAAAGAGCCCTTCTAATCTACACGACGCCATCTTCTCCAGTAAACCATCTTTGATTTACTGTATTTGCATTTTGTTCAAATCATGGAAGGCACAAAATTGTCTCCTGGAAGGCACAACAATGTACACTGGAAAGCACAACTATGTGCTCTGGAAGGTATATATATATATATATATATATATATATATATATATATATATATATATATATATATATGATGGGAAATATATCCCGGGGTCAAACTCCCCGTACGCTCCGTGCTCTCGTTTAGGTCAGAGTCAAACGGTTCGCGTCCCGGTCCATGGATCAAGGTCAAACCTGCCTACGCTTGACCCTATAAATAGGGCCTTAGCCCTCCAAGTTAGGGGTTCCTCCTCTTCCACTCTCTCTCTCTACAACAATGCTCTCACTTCTCTCTAAGACAAGAAGAGTAATTCTTAATAAAAGAACCCCTTTGATCTACATCATTGTTCTTCTCTCCTTGTTCAATATTCATATATTTACATACATATGGATACACCCAACCGTACCGGGGAATTAACCGTATCAATATATATGTTAATTTGTTTAGGAAAGCTCGTAGGCCAGCGCCAACCTGTGCGGCCCACCTTGACATCCCTAAACTCTTTATAGTGTGGTTTACTTATCCTGTATAATTTGTGAGCTATTACAAAGGAGCTGAGTTTACTTAATGTACATATTTAAGTGCGCTTTAGCTTAGAGTTTACTTAATATATATCTTCATATATTAGCAACAATTTTCCTCTTCACCCAAAAATATGTGATTAACAAAATCATGAAGTAAAGACTTTGAATTCATGCATATGTAATAATTATTTGGAGAATTGTCATGGTATAGGTTCGATCAAGACGTGTTTAAAAGTTCGAATTCATGTGTATACAATAAATCTTGAGAGAGTTTTCCATTTCCGCCATGGGAACACTTGAATGTGACTAGATTAATTTCATCTCGACGAGAGTTGTTGTATACTTGTATGGGCCTCGACCGGAGCTTGACTAGATTAGCTAGACTAGCTTGGCATGTAGTGACCTTTTTCATATGGGAGGTCATGAGATCGAATCTCAGTGGAATCTTAGTGGAGGCATTAATGAATGAACATAACAATAGAGTCAGGAGGGATAGAGTCCCAAAACATTAGAGTGATCTTGATCAAACGCTAACGAGGCTAAAGTATGAGCATGTAAATTAACCGATCTAGAAAGGACATTGGTCCACAATGACCCCAACATAGGACAAACTGGTCGCGGAGCTCGAATGAAGTGAATGTCGTAATTCTGAGTAATCCATGAGAATATCGCCGCGGAGCTCGACTGAAGTGAATGTCGTAATTCTGAGTAATCCATGAGAATATCGCCATCCCACACAGCTGAGTTCCGAGCAGTCCACAAGGAGTAGAGAACGGTAGCCGTAAGTCCACACTCCTCTGTCAAAGTAGCCAAGCCGGAAAAGAGTTGGTCAAAGTATTTGTGATGGGCAACTTTGAAGGGCATGTAGGATCCACCTCCACGATGGAAGAATATCACATAGAGCCTTCCATAAAAAAAGTCTTCCATTTAGGAGGGATTTTCCGCTTCCACGATGTAACCCATCTATAAACTACCCCGGGTATGCTCATATTCTCCCATAATCTGCCTATAAGCAGTGTATAAATTCCTTTTGAGTCACCTAGCCAATATCATGAGTCTTCGTAATTCAAGCTAATAGGAACATATATTACAATGTAATAGAGTCTTCAAAAAAAATAAACATGAAAAATAATTAATTAGGGAGTAATTAATTTAATAACGGACCTATAATAGCAGCTTGCGGTTGGGGAATCTGAGTGCGTCTATTTCATACACTATTTCTGTACCTATGGGACATGCGAGTAAATAGGGAAGAATGCTAACCTACAAAAACAAGAAAGGCAAAATGAGAGCGGGAGAGATAGATCCGAGGCGAGGGCTCCAATTTGTTTCATGCACATTTGGTCGGAAGGATTGGGGAATTCAATGGGGAGATTGAGGAATCGGATTCTGATCACGTTGGCCCTGCAGATGATGGCATCCGCCGGCGCAATGCGGTTTGATTTGCAGTCCGGATCCTCCAAGTGCATCACGGAGGACATCAACAAAAACGCCATGACCGTCGGCAAGTACTCCGTCATCAATCCTCTCGACGGCCAACCCTTGCCGGACTCCCACAAGACCACCATCCGGGTAACGTTCTTCATTCACAATTACCAAATTGTGAAATTAGGGTTTTCGCATTGTGTCTGGAAATGATAATCTCATAATCCTTTTCAATAAAGGAATGATGATTGAGGTGCGTTGCATAAAAATGTTACTCCGTATCTTTTAACTAAAAGGAATAAGTGTCATGGCTTCTGCACAATTGGGTCTATGAACTTAAAAAAATGTGAAAGAAGTAAAATATGTGTAATTGAGATATTTTTTTCTGGTAAAATCCTATCATATAAGTTATATGGTATGTATTAAGAATTTCATTTCCTCTGCCATACTAGTTGTGATGAAAAATTTAAATGTTTTCAACTTAAATTGCAATAAAAGAAATCATAAAAATCACATTTTTTGCTTGTTTGATGGTTAAATTGCAAACTTTTTAAGTTAAGTGAACCAATTGCACTTGTTCTTAACTAAAATGTCTATCTTTGTAGTGGTGGGTTGAGTAATCACTGTATTGGAATTCTATGTTGTTTTATTGCTTAAGTAGTAGATAGCTGGGTTAATGTTGTGGAACTGCTTGCTGCACAGATTTTAATTGAACTGTTTCAGACATTGATTATAGCTTTAATGGGGATGATGATGCAGGTAACTTCTCCAGATGGTCATCACTATCACTATGCAGATTCTGTGGATGGTGGTGATTTCGCGTTTACTGCAGCTGAGGGTGGCAACTATATTACTTGTTTCTGGGCGCCTGAGCACAAGCCGCCTTTCACATTGTCGGTTGATTTTGATTGGAAGACGGGATTTGCTGCCAAGGATTGGTCGAAAGTTGCCAAGAAAGATCAGATAGAAGTGCGTGTTTGTAATCCCACTCCCTCCGGTTTTCTTGTTCAACCTGTGCATATAATGATGCTATGTGGCTAGTCGTTTCTCTTTTGCACTTGTGATTGCTTAGTTGATGGTGAAATAGTACCTCAGACGAATTAAACTACCTAGAATGAAAGGGGAGAAAAACTAAACGAATCTCTTAGTTCATAACAGAGTGAGATTTCTTGATTTTCTTTATCCTTCCATTGCAAGGAGCACAACTATCTTCCTGCTTAGAATGTGGAATGCTATTTATATTTGTTCTTAGGAATCTTAGGTGTTTAAACTCGAGCAGTTGAGCTAAATAAGTAGTTTGTTCTATTCCCTCCCTGCTGCTTCTCTTTGGCCTTCGAGTTTATTGATTTGCAGCATATTCCATAGTGCAGCTTGTGATTCTTGAATTTAGAACTGCTCATCTTTTATAGCCATTGGTTGCAGGAGATGGAACTCGAGCTTATGAAATTGTTGGACGCGGTGACAGCCATTCACGATGAGATGTACTATCTTCGCGAAAGGTAAGATCATGCATATGTGTGTGTATATATATATATATATATATATATATATATATTTCCACCAAAGAGCCCGGGAATTGTTTGTTTATCCTTGTGTTTGTGAATGTTGTGGTATGTTTAGGGAGGAAGAAATGCAAGTACTGAATAGAGCAACTAATTCGAAGATGGCGACTTTCAGTTTTCTGTCGATCTTTGTTTGCTTGTGTGTGGCTGCTATGCAACTATGGCATTTGAAGACATTTTTTGAGAGAAAGAAGCTCATCTGATTCTTCGTGCTTCATGTTTCTCTTGTTACCAGGAGACTTTGATTTCTGGTTCTCTATTGTGGGTTAGGGTAGATGACAGAACTGTATAACAATCAATCCTCTTCTTACCTGTTAGCTGAGGATATTTGATAAAATTTTTGTGGTCAAAAGAATATTCTATAATTGTAGATAGTCTTTTTCTTTTTTAAATAATAATAATTATTCAGTCAATTCGCTGTCTTTGACATCCATTTATTTCATTTTAGTTTAAGGGTTTGGTCAATTTGAAGTACAGGGAATTAGGACTGGAAAAGTGCCATAAAGATTGATATAAATGGATGGAGAAGAATGATAAATGATCATATCTGTATGGACATAAGAAGTAAGAACCAAAATGTTTGGTTATTACTCCATCCAAACCAACACAACAGCCCATAGCCCATATTGATGGGTCAAATTTGCCATTTTAATAATTTAAACCAGCTTGGTTGGCGTGAATGGTTATGCACTTTTGCTCTTTAAGAGAGGTTGGGAGTTCGATCCCCCTTATGTATGAAAAAACCAATTTGACCAGCACTTTGCCCTTTAATTGGGCAGTCACAGAATGAGGATTAGTCTAAGTATATCTGAATTGGGTCGGCCCAGTCAGGGTCGACACCTCGGGTGATCTGACAAAAAAAATAAATAATTTAAATAATTTATTTTAAATAATTAAATTTCACCCAATAATCACTCATAATTCGGCTGATTTGTAATGCTTGAATTATTGAGTTAGACATATGGTTAGATAATCCCATTAATTACACCCATCAATTTTGTCTTATAAACATTTTTTAGTCAATTCGGTATTTGTTTATTAGTTGTAGTTTCGGAAATGTTCGGTGCCTTTCAAGGTCGGATTTTCCTTTCTTCCACGCATTCTTCTCCCAACTGATCAAATTGTCCATTCCAAGCCAAGCTAAGCTACCATTCTGCCATATCTCTCCATTTCTATTATATATCTATATAATATATATATTTTCCGGCGCGCCACCCCACATATCAACCAGCTAGTATATATAGGCAGAATGAGCCACCCTTCCTTCGCCGCAGCGCCGCCGTGCTCTCTCAGTAGCTACCGCTTCTCACAACCGCCCAACCGGCGGTTATTGCGGTTTCCCGGCCGCGCCGATAACACCGACAACCTCTTCACCCCGAACCGGCGGCGGATCACCACCACTACTACCTCGGCTCCTCCTCGTAGCTCCAAACCTGTTCCCCATCATCATCGTAACATCGTAAAAGCTCATCAATCCACTCAAACCTTCACCTACAGAGTCAAGACCGACATTCCCTTGTATGAATCACCCGAGGTCTGTCTTATTTTACTTATCATGTTTTTTAAATCAGTATGTATCTGTCTCGTTTTACTTATCATGTTTTTAAAATTAAGAAACATTTGTCTTGTTTTATTTATTGTGTTTTAAAACTAGTGCGTATCTATCTCCTTTTATTTTTCAATTTTTTTAAAAGTCGGTTTGTAACAATCCATAAGTTTGATGGATGTTTGAATTAATGTACGTACAAAATGTAATGCAGGCTTCATTTGACCAGTATCTAGAGGACAAGCCCAGAGTTCTCAAAGCCTTGTGTCCTTACGAGAAGCGAAAACCTGAACAAATTAACGAGGTATATATATATATGTGTGCTTTTATAACTTTTCCTTGAAATCATGAAATCTTAATTGCTTAACATGGAACATCATTAAATGCATCATTTTAATTTTTTTTTTTTTTTTTATGGAAAAATGATGGTTTAGTTTAATAATTATGATCATTGGGTAAGTTTAGTTCTTTCTTCTCCCAAATAAAGTTTAGTTCTTTCAGTTATATATTTTTCATGGTAGGTTTAGTATTCTAGTTATGATCAAACGACTAATATAATTTGGTTCATGGAGATCAAATTAATCACTTTATTAGTGGGATCAAATTCTGTCACTTTGATAATAATATAATGTACATGACAAGTCAGGAAAGGGATGGTCAAGAGGGTGAAGTATAATTCTCGTAGTAGAAACTTATTACAAATAAATCAAGTTTACCTCGTGCACACTTTACCTTCGAATAATGATTGCAAGTTTAGTGAGTTTAATTCTTATCAATGCCTTTTTAGTTGAGCTCCAAACCCGTCGTGTAGAGTCTTAAGGTAGTTGAATATAATTGAAGTAGATATTTTTTTGTATTTTGTCTCTTTTGATATGATCATTTCATGATGGTTGGCTGGTGGTGTTACAAAATCCACTATATATATATGGGGACTCGCTATCACGTACGTGTGTTATAAAATGACAAGTGTAAAACATCGTAATAAACATCTACGTCGTACATTTGAACAATCAAGTGTAACTTTATGATGAATAATATTGTGGCCCGCATGGGCAGCTCACCTCTATAAAAGTTAGAAAGAATGACCACGGATCAAGTCTTACCAGCGGCAGTGTGTGAGCAACTTGTTCAGTTGAATTACCATGATTTACATCCTTTCAGATGCTCTGTGTATTTATTCATCGAATACATGTATTATTATATATACTGCATGTTTTGCATGGCAGGAAGAATGGAGGATATACATGGCGCCCATAGATTTCATGTTCCTCTCCGCCACGCCGGTGGTTCATATGAGACTGCGGTGCAAGACAAAAGGCATAGGATACCCTTCCGGCATTCCGCCCAACACTTCCAAGCTGCTCGAGTTAAAAGTTGTAAGTATAAGAGTCGATTTTACGACTTTACAGTAGCTACATAATAACCATCTTAAGATATTTAATTGCCCAACACTTCCAAGCTGCTCGAGTTAAAAGTTGTAAGTATAAAAGTCGATTTTACGACCTTACAGTAGTTACATAATAACCATCTTAAGATATTTAATTTTCAAGGTCTTTCTTTCTTTATATTATATATCAACTTACAATTATTTATGTCAGGGGAGTAGTGGGTGCAGAACCTATCACTTTCTTCCGTCCTTGTGCATTACTCGAGAATATAATGTACACGGGTAAATCATATATACTTTGTGACCCTAGACGTTAAGAAGCACAAAATTAGTCTAAATTGCTCACAACTAATTGGCTCAAACTAAGAAGACCAATATGTCACTCTACTAAGAATAGTCAAACTTAGAATCTTGTATTTAGCAAACTAATATGACCAACTTGGTTGGGCTTGTCGGCCCCAAGCTAAGTTATTATAATTATTTTGGTTGAGGTGTGTAGATCAAGCATATAATATATACGGAGTATATATATAAATAAATGTGCAATCTAACTATTAACTTAGATTTAATGTTAATGTAACCATATAATGCAGGTTAAATCGGAGCTTAGGGGAGATTTGGATTCATTGATGAAGCATACACAATTCAATCTGGGGGTTGAAGGAGTGGTATACCCAGACAGAAAGGGATCAAGAACTAGGATTAAAGGCCATCTTTTGATGTCCATAACCTTTTCTCCACCACCTGCCCTAGCTCTCATCCCTCAACACCTTCATAACGACATCACGCAACTGGTTAGCTAGTTTAACTCATACATTTATCGAGAATAAATATTAAAAATTTCTCTGGGCACCCGCAACCCCCTCACTCTGAGAGCTGAGGTTGCTCCTACACTGTTGTTAGTGAGACTCGATCTTGAATTATTGTTTTCAAACTTCACCCCTATGACCAACAAAGCTGCCCATGCGGGTGTGTTGGGAGCATTGGGGTTGTTGCTTGATTTGTTTAAAACCATTTTTATCTCATCCAAAAAGTTGTAAAAAAACTTAAAAAGTAAAACTCCACCAATAATTCTACTCTAAAAATGTAAATTTTAAGTAGAGGTAAAAGTTGAATTAATTTTTTTTTTCCTGGTGTTTATTTATTACACAGATTCTGAGGACAATAGGAGAGGGCATGGAAAGGAATGTAAATAATGGATTGGTGGCGGACTACGGCAAGTTCAAGAAGGAGAAGAGATGAGATATGCGGCGCGGCGGCGCCGTCTTGGAATGAGACAGACAGCGGCGGACTACGGCAACTTCAACTGAAAATATATGTCGACAAATGCCGCCTAATGTAACTATTAGCGTTAACGTTAACGTGCAAGCATTCATTCATCCAGTTTATATAAGTACAGTGTGTTGGGCATATAGCCGTGCAATCCAACTATCATCTCAAGCTTTTAGTTGATATAAAGCACATGTTTCAATTTGGTATCTATAGTTATTAATGTACAATTCAAAGTGTAGTTTTCAATTTGAATTGTAATTACACAGCAATCAAAATTATATTCTATTGTTTAGTTGAAGAAAATTATTATAATTTTTCCTGATCATGAAATTGAAATTCTCATGCCCCTTCAGAATCGGAACTCACATATAATTTCACAACTCATGAAATAATACTTTTAATGTAGTTTCTAAACATATAAATTTTACTCTGTATATAATAATACTAAATTTAATACTATGAAAAATTGAACTAAAAATAACTTCAACTAAATATCGCTAATCAATTAATCGGACACGTAAAATAAAATGGAAAGAGTATTATTTTGAATAAGGTGTGCAAATGACATGTAGTGTACGTCCATCTTGTCAGACTTTGTCTCTAACAATGAAGAAAAGTTTCCAAACTTTAAAGCAAGCATGTAAAAAATGCCACATTACAAATATCTCTACAGACAAATTTAAAATGCTAGGGATTTAATGAACAATGAAATGCTAATAATCTAACCCTACATTATTATATTCTACCTTTCTTTTTTTTTTTTTGAATGCTTCTCACTCTATTATAATATAGTATCTCTTCACATATAAGAGAGCAACTTAATGTCATTGGACCACAAAGTCCTTGGTCTACACACACAATTCTATCTGGGAGTGGAAGGAGTTGTATACCCAGGCAGAAATTAAAAGGTCATATACAACCAAACATGAATATTGGTGATCATTCCAATTCCACTGTATTACCAAACATGTAAAATATTTTCACCAAAATTTATTACCATTACAAAATATTTAATTTTCATTCCGATTCCGATTCCGATTCACGAACCAAACACACCCTGAAAATGTTACGCTGGAAATGAAGTGGTGACAAATGCCTAATGTAATTGTTAACGTTAACGTGCAAGCATTAATTGAAGCAATATAATCAAGCTTTGGACCACAACCATGTAATTTGGTACTATGTTATGTTCTAACATCAATTTGGACACGCAATCCAAATACCTACAACTCATTCTATCTTCATCATCTTCGCTTTCTCCTTTTCTTTCCTCTCTCTCTCTCTCTCATTCTCTACAATTATATATGTCCATATATGGAAATATTATTCAATCAAATGCATGTGTGTCTTTGTGTTGGAAAATGGTTAAAAGGGGATTGGTTCACGGCTGGAAAATCATCTATTTTTTTTATTGATTTATTGATTTATTGATTTATTTGGTCATCTTAAAACTGGATAGAGATTTATAACATACGTTTGGTTCGTGTAAAAGAATTAAGAATGAACTTAATTTAAATTTCATGGGCAATAAATTGCTTAAAATATTGATTTTATTGTTTCGTGGGTGAGAAATGAGTTGTTGAAAATAATTAGTATAAACACTCAAATATCCTTATATAATAACATATGTTAGGGTAATATAAGAATTAATGCTAGCTGCAACTTTTTTCCCAATACCAAAGGAGAGCAAGGAATTCATATCAGCTGAACAAGGTAACATCTTCATTTTTTTTCCTCCCAAATTTAAGGAAAAAAAAATCTAGTATAAACCCTTGACCATTGGTCAATGGTCGAAAAACAATAGTTAACATTTTTTTTTTTTCCTTAAATTTACCTTTGAGTCTCATGTGTATCCATGAATGGTCTACCTCCTAAAAAAGAAGGAAAAAAAAGTCAAATTGTTCACTGAGTCAATCGGATAGTGTAATTGGTCTCATAAGTAAAAAAAAAATCATTCAAATCTCCTAAATCGATAAAATTGTTCAATTAAGTCTAAATTGACTTGTTTAGCAAGTTAACTCATCGTAAGTTTGACACGTCTTTTCTTTTTTATTATTTAAAACTTGTTATTTATTTAAGAAAAAAAAAAGGAGGAATACAGCTACCGTAGGACAGCCGGTGGCTGTCTCCATAACACACAATCATGGCTGTTCGACGAGGACAACCATAAAAAAAGATATCTCGGTAACAAAAACTATAGGGGGCTGTATCGGCGAGATCCAACGGTGAACAGCTTCCCAAAAGAAAAACCGCCTGGAAGTCCAAGGAAGGGTGCGTGCTTCAACATCCCAGTTTGACGGGAAGCGTCTTCCTTGGTTCGCCTAGCGCCTCTATTATAAAGCGTTGCGAAATGCTGATATGGATCGAAAAAGAGTGGTTCAATGACTTGATCGATCGTACTAGATAGATAGTCTCAGATAGACAACCTTTTATACGCAATTCCTAACAACATCGAGTGTTTAGGCAGGATATAGATCGAGCACAATAAGCTACTTTATCATATCCTTATATGAACCGTACGAGCACGTCCTCTGTCACCCCTCACCGCGCTTACAGCAAACTAATACCAATTCCGTTTAGTACTTCAGGTGAGAGGACTGCTACTATACTGACACAGACTCTGTTGTGCTTACGAAATTCCACTCTCCTCTGTCTCACTCAAGTGACTGTCTAAGAAAGACGACCATGGCCGCCACCCTCGTTCCAGATCTGGAAGATGGCCGTGATCGTCTTTCTTAGACAGACGTGGTTGTCCGTTACAGAGACAGCCACCCGCTGTCCTCTCTGAACAACCGGGTATTCCTCTTTTTTTTTTTTTTTTTAATTCTTAAATAAATAACAAGTTTTTAAAAAAAAAAATTAAAAAGACACATATCAAACCTACGAGGAGTTAACTTGCTGAACAAATTAATTTGGACTTAATTGAACAATTTTACTGGTTTAGAGGATTTGATTTTTTTTTTTTTAATAACTTGGGACCCAATTGCACTATTTGGTTAATTTAGGGGGCCAATTTGACCTTTTCCAAAAAAGAATTTGCGTAATACTCAACTATAAAATCAAAACAAAACAAAAGAACAAATCAAAACAAAACAAAAAAAAAAAAAAAACAAAACAAAAAAAAAAAAAACAAAACAAAACAAAACAAAACAAAAACAAAACAAAATATGGTGTCAATTTAAAAGATGAATTTACTATTACTCTTTAAAAAAATTGCAAACTATTACATAGGAACATGATTTACTTAATACACACCGTCGAGTAGTAGTTGCATGTTTTCTTCACCCCCAAAAAAGGCACTTAGATGTTGGTATTTCAATCTTTGATATTGTTCAGAGAAACATACATTTGATATGATGTGCTTATGTAATGTAATATGTGCAATCTTTCCCACAAACAGGATTGCAGAAGTACTGCCTATGCTTTTGAGTCTCTAATCCAAAAATGGTAATTGTATTCAACATTCTAATCAATGTCTTTCACTGTTCTATGATATATATATAACAGAAATCCATGGCAGCCACTATTCTGATTCTGCTTTCCACTTCCTTTTGAGGCTGTGATGAACATCAATGCCAGTTCAGCCATGGAAGGATTTTTGTCAGAGTTCCTTCCTGGAACATAGTCCTGATTCTTAAACTTTACAACTTTTGCCATTTTCAAGATTGTATTCTGGCATGTTTCATGTATGTATACTCAGAAAAAGTGAGATCAGCATTGCACAAATATCAGTAAATTTTACTGCAAATCAAAAGGGGTGAGCTTGTAAGAATCTTTACAAGTCAGATGAATAACATAGTATAAGCCATTTGTAGTATGCTAGTGTACTTTACAGAGTTTTGTTTCAATTTGCAGAAAATAGAACATTTTACAGAGGCAAATCCTCTCCTACTCCACTTATAGATCAAAAAGGAGACATGTTTTTCTAGTATGGTTCTTTTAACTGCCCATGGAAGGGGGGTGGGTGCTAAACCGCTAATAAAGAGAATGTATGTATGCAAACTTTCACAGTGAGAGATTTTTGTTGAATCTTGGAAGTTGGTACCTTTTACGCTGTGGTTTCACTTGATGCAACTAGAATGCTTGCATCGGGTAGGGGACGGAGTCCTGGTTGGATATGCTGCTGCTTCTGGATTTGCTCTAGTTCGATTGGGGAGAAAATTTCTGGTTGAAGAGATGGGGCTATGTTTTTTACGTGCAACCATGTGAGATGCCAGAAGTTGTCGCCCTCTGTAAGGTCACCACCGGGTGAGAGAATCCCACTGGTCTTCATGACGAGCAAAGTGTTCTTGAGGAGCTCTGGAACGAGTTCAGGGATTTTCCCGCTTCGTTTCCCCCTAAGTTTTACCTTCATGCATCTCTCCGAGCAATCGAGAACCCTCAACCATAGTGCAGAGAAAGATGGCAACTGCAAGAGGTCCTGCAGGCGCTGCAAAAAGACTTTCGACATGAGTTTCAAAGACAAAATGATTGCCCCTTCAATGCTATAATCCTTCATGGAATTCTGATGTGTGATTTCGAGCAAGTCATCCAGTAACGTGAAAATCACTTGATTGAAGCATAGCAACCACAAGTCGTTTGGAATATGGATTCCGTCCACTTCTGTCAAGCACCTTTGTAACGCCAAAATTGCGTGATTCCTGACTACTTCTCGAGAGTCTAAGCATACTTTTCTTAGCCCTTGTACCAGCCTCAGCCACATCTCCCATATATCCTGAGACATTTTCAAGGCGGCCTCCTCCACTAGCGCTTCCTTCGTCTTCTGAGACCATCTCACGAGACATACGAGCGAACCCGCCATCAGATCCAAGGATTTTACAGATTGATCAATATCTCCAACTCGGTACTCTGCAAACTGCCTGGCTGCGTTAATGCAAAGGACGTAATTTGCAGGCAACAGGTGGGCCCCATCAGCCATGATAAACGAAAGTGTCTTGTATCCTGACTCTGATGCTTCTGGATGCCGAGCTGTGATTGAAAGCAGTGAAATGATCGTGCGCCAACCCGTGTGAGATCGTATTTGCGTGGCATTTGCTTTCACAAGGTGCATGACTTCCTGGGTGATCTGTTCCAGATATGCATCAGCAACCCGGGCATCGAGTTTCAATACGAGTTGCAGAGACATAAGAAGCTCATCAGTTAGGTTTTCTTTGTAAGGAAGCAAACGCTGGCAGATTCGAAGAAGTCCAAAAACAGCCTTCTCCACCAGAGCACAAGGCATTACAGTTGACTGCACTATATTGGCTATGTGCTCGTAAACACGTTGCCAAAGAAGCATAATCCTGTCCCTATTATTTAGTGCAATTGCAATCAACAACTCCAAGCAAAACACTGCAGTCCCTTCCTCTTCCAAACGCTGCTTTCCTTTACGAGGCTTTCCTGCAGCCGAAACAAGTGCCTGAACAAGCTGCAATAGGGAATCTGCTTGCAGAAATTTACTGTCCGCAAATATGTTATCTATGTGACAACTTTGGATCATCTGGAGAATGAGTTGGCGAGCAGCAATCTGCTCTTCGCTTGGCTGAGGTGCAGGCTCTTCAATATCCAGATATAAAAACTGGCTAAATCGGCCCATTAAGCCAGATGACTTCCTAGTAGAAGAAGCTAGTAGAGGGACATGAGATTCGGAAGGAGAAACTGCGGGAGATCTGTTTTCTACATCAGCAGAAGACTCTGGATCATCAGTTGCATCACTGAGAAGACGGGAAGGAAGAAGTCCCAACATTTGCAAGCTTAAAATGCAATCCAAAATATTTTTCCAACCCAAGTGAATATGGTCACCATACTTATTTGCTATGGTGAAGACTGCTGTAGTTGCCATTCTCGCCTTACTGTCATCTCCGTATGAAAGAATAAAGTCTTCAAAGTAGGATGGAAGCAACAAGTTGGTAAATTTGCATAGTGATACAACCAAATCATCCAACACTTCATCAAAATTATAGGTTGCTGAAATCTTAGCAATGGCCAAGAAGCCATCAACACAGGTCTCCAAAACATCTTCCTGCTCCACATTATCAAAAACCACAGAGATGGCAGCAATTGTGGGCCCAGACAATATGGCAAAGAGATGCCTGTCAAGGTAAGGTTCCATATCACATGCTATAAATGGTGCAGTTTGGTTTGATCTGTGAACTAGACCAATCCAATAGCTTGGCATCATAGCAGAGGCTCCAGCACCTGCATCTGGCAGCATGCGAATCTCATTCTCACGTATGGAGTGGTATAGCTCAGACAGGAACTCTCGAGGCAAGTCACTTCCTCCATTAATTCTCCGATTGTTACGGATGAAATCATCTTCTGTCATCTTCTTCTTAACTTGTGCATTGTGTTGATCAGTGTTAAGCATTATAAGTGAATACGACAGGAGGAGAGCAGCATCTTTGTTTGCCAGAATATCTCGCGATTGCTCATAATATCTTTCAGCAAATGCTTCAAGAACTCTCTGTATTTTTTGTGACTCTCCAGGCAATCGAAATGTTTCCAAAAATACACGTAGAGCTGTATCCAAATTCATGTCCTGAAAATCAAATGTCCTTGCAAATTCATGAAGCACTGCAATGCAAAATTCATCATGGCTCCCTAAGAAATCCCCGACAAGATTCTTATCTAATCCAGGTGCATATCTGAAGAAAGATGCTACACTTACGGGATCCAGTTTAGCAGGTAGCAAATGCTTTCCTTGAACAAATTCCAGACCCTTCTTTGGATCTTGGTTAAAGTGATCTGCTCCAATAATCAACTTCCGCTTAATTTGCTTCATCTTACGCACATAAGGAACCCAATGAGTAGGGTCATTGTAGTCCTCGCATACCTCTACCCAAAATGGCTTATATTCTTCAGAATCTGACGAAGCAGGTTCTGAAACTGAACCATGCCCAATTCTCTCACCCATACCCTCAACCATGGCAATCAGACCATCCAAAGCAAGAGTGTTCATTGCTGATAAAGGGCTGTTAACTGGGAAAGTGCTCTTTGATAACAGATTAGCAAGGTCTTCAAAAATGTCGCTGCAAGATATGTCACAATCGAAGTTTACATACATCTCAGTCATGAAAACATGCTGCCTACAAAAGTCAACAATAGCTTCTAAAGCAACCTCCTGCTGTTGATAAGAAGCTCCATGCTTATTCTCTGCAATCCTCAAGAGCACACCAGAGAAAAATGTTTCAAGCTGCAGCTTTAGTTTAGCACGGAGATGATGATAAAGATTGAGAACAATGCTAGTAACTGTTGAAAGGATTAGGGGACTCATCGACAAGCCAAAGCGCATCAAAGTTTGGAATAACTCCTCCTGTATCAGGGCCAATAATTTTGGATGGCTACCAAAAGAAGCCCCACCTATTTCTATTGCTGAATTAATTAAGCCCAGTGCAAAAAGGGGAACATCCTCGTCATATGCTATAGGGTTGGATCTTGGACTAATTTCCATGTGATCCATCACATTCAGAAGGGAACATAGGAAATGAAGTATCTCCACCATGCAAGGGATCCCATAAGGATCCATCATGGAAAGCCCTCCACCATTAGCAATCTCCTTCCTCTGGCCAACCTTTTCATCCTTGCTTGCCAACGGGTCTGAGGATACATTTGAAGGAGCCACATTAACAGAACCTTCATCCGATGGTGCCTTGTGATTAGATTCTGCATTAACAGAACCACTGTCAGATTGTCCATCCCCAGAAGTTTGACCTTCCATCATCGAACCAACCTAATAATTCCATTAAATGCATTCTTGAGTTAAACAGAAACAAAGAAATCTTATTGTGGAAATCCAAAATAATAGTATAAACATCCAACCCTTGCAACAATCATTTGCCTACACAATCACAGATAAAAATAGCAAGTAAAATCAAGAATCTTTTTTCTTTTTGGAGTATAAAAATTCAGGTATTTTGAAACTCTGACCCTTACCCAGTCTAATTCAAACCAGATAATTAAAAAGGAATTCCTAAAAATGAACTATATTCTGTCTGCAAGAGATGAATGTTAAGAGAACAGTGCTCAATAAATAGCATTAATACCCATTTCCCCATAGTCACTAACATATTTATAAATCTGAAATTTATCCTCCACAGAGAAAAGAATAAAAAGACACCCCCATTAATCATCATTACCTCAAGGGTACCATGTGATCTGCTTCCTTGAGCCAAACCATCTTCTTTACTCTCAATATCAGACAGGTGAGAAAAAATGCACCTAACCAATTCATGCATTGTGTGACGTGCTATCCTCTGCAACAGTTCACTTTTGGCACTTGCCTGATGGACCAATCGGAAGCAGGTATTTACTATGTTGCATACATGATGATCACCCAAATAAACTGATGCCTTACTTTTCATGCAAGCCAAAAGAACTTGAAGAATTTTCATCAGCACCACTTCTTCAGAGGCAGAATCAGTCACTTCAAAACGACAGCTGGTTACAGCATCAACTATCTGATGCAAAGCCTTATCTACATTCTTAGTAGTTGAATCAATAATTTCAAGACTTAAGAATTTGTAAATGGATGACAAAGCAACACCAGTGATTGGGGCACCAGTTTCATCAGATTGAACCACATCCAGAAATGGTTGGAGATAGGCAATTGGATCAATAGTATTCCATTGGTGTTGCCATGAGAATATATTTTTCCGTAGATCCTTGAAGGATTGAATAAGAGAGTGCTCTAACTGGTCATCATTAGCGGCATAATGAACCCCCCACCGTACATTTCTCCTCATCACAGCTAAAACTGCACCAATTTCAGAATTCACCATACAAGCCAAGGCACCCCTGGATGGCTTCAAGGTGCCACCTTTGGGCTCTGAACATACACCATTCATTTCAATATGCTTATTCAGGCACCCCATAGTGGTTTAGCTTCCATGAAACTCCACTTTAGATGCCAAATTAATCAAAAAGCTACCAAGTGAAATGAGGCACCTTATCATAACCCAGCCAAATTGTTCATCTGAAAGTAATACAGCAATCATTTAACATTATTTCACTAAAAAAATCTACTACTGCAAGTGAAGATATACAGACAGCTACAAGAATTAAGTGAGATACCATGTTGACATATCACATCTTATCAAAAGACAAAAATAAAAACTTTCTCACTAGTCACTGATTACAGCCAGCAATCCACTTTTACCAAGTTCTACAGATCATTGTAAGCACAAGAACTGGCACATACATCAGATTATTGCTTACAAAAATGAGGGGTCAAGACCTAACACCATTTCCAGGCAATCATGCCAGCAACTAAATTTGATCTGAATAATCTACCGTCATATATAACAAACAAATTCTGATCCAGAGAAGTAAAAGACGGACTGCTGATTTACAATTTTGCAAAAGGGATCTCAGAAATGAAAAAATTATAATAAATAGAATGTGATAGATCTAGATTAGTGTTCGTTCAGATGAAGCAATGGCGGGGCAATTTTAGCATTGAAACGAAAGTAAAGCAATGGCGATTAGATCCCGGATGAAATTTTCCGGTCGTACCTTGTTGACGGTCACTGTACCGAGCAGTCGGAGGGTCATTGCAGTGGTCACCGACGGTGGAATTTTAGCATTTGATCTCCGATGTTCTCGTCAAATCTTATGTGAACGGGTTGGGGACTCCCTAAAAATAAATTAGATATGGAATTATTATTTTATTTTTAACTTTTAATTTTTTTTTACAAATTACTCTATTTAATTATTCCGACACAATCCCTCTAAATGAATGGATGAGTGAGTGAAAATGATTATCATATCATATAGTTATATATTTGATTCGAGTTTTAATAGATATACTTTTAAATTTTTCAGGTACGGATTAATAAGTTACGGAGTATTTTTTTTTATGTAAGTTTCAATGCAAGTGTTTATTCCTCCATCAAGATTTTGTGTGTGGAGTAAAAAATGAGAGTACACATAGTATTTTTTATTTGATTCTTATTATTCTTATTGTCCCATTTTATCTATCCTACTTAATATTCATTAGTCAAATCAACTATTTCTTCTTTGTTTATTTTCTTTAGTATTCTTTATTTATTTTTAAATTTGATTTGTTGTGTTTAATAGTACTTTTAATGTAGTTTTTAAATATATAAATTTTGTATACTAATTACAAAAAATTGAATTAAAAAAGACTGCAGTTAAATCTCGTTAACTGAATCAAACACATAAAATGAGACCGATGGAGTAACTATCATTCTTTTTGTCAATCTTGTCACAAGAGTTTGTGCACGTTTATTAACTTAGTATTTTGAACATAAATCCGAATGCATACATTTTAACAACCGAGTAATTAACCAACCAAATAGCAATAGCTAGATCCTTGTCCAAATTGAAGATATGTTATTTATAATTAGGGGTGTTTGGTAAATAATTGTTAGTTGATTGTATTAATTAGTTTGATTAGTTGACAATATTAATGGATTATATAAAGAGGTTTGGTAAATTAGTTATTAATTAATACAGAGTAGTTGATTACGAGTAAAATGATTTTTTCAAAAAGTTGATCGAAAAAGCTATTTTGAGCAATTTTATGAATTTTAGCATTTTAGAGCAATAAGTTATTACAAAAAGCTAATTAATCAAACACTTATATTGATTGTTTAACCAAATTAAACAATTAATAATAGTCAAATAAATTAAAATTGATTGATAAACTAACTATGTTACCAAATATAGCCTAAGGATTGCTTCGGTTGCACTTTTCATGTTGTGTTATGACAGAGGGCCAGTGGTTCAGGCATAGTGCATCAAATGAGTTTAATGATGTCTGATATCCATGCCACCATCAGAGTTGGACGTTTGAGTTTGGACTATTGTCAGATCGGAACGTACGAGACTATTGGAGTTGAGGATTTAACTTTTTGGAAATAATGAATATCTCTTGGCTCTTAAATAACTTCTTTTAAGTTTATTTAAAAAAAAATAAAAAAAATAAAAAAAAAATTTCTCATGAATTAACTCACTATACCCAATATTCGATTTGACATTATTAAATACTCACGGTCACATTTTACCTGTATTACTTTCCTTTTTAGTTTGTTCCAAAATAGTATATTCTTTCTAAAATTAAACATAACTATCATTCTACATTTTTCAATTTATTTACTCCTTCGACTTTTTAAATTGCTAGAGGTAAGTACAATTATACTTTGTACAAATAACACATACTTTTGAGGGGAAAAATTGAAAAATTAGTAATATTTGTATGTTATGTTGTATTAAAAACCATGCAAAAGCAAATGAGACAATTAATTAGAGACAGAAGGAGTATAATTAATAAGTATATCTTTTAATTTTATTATTATTTTTTTTTGGAAAAAACTCTTAAATTACTTCTTTAAGTTAAAAACATTGAATCCATGATTAATAATTATGACACCAAAACTAAAACTTGACATAACATTATGCATAATTCAACGAACATAAAATAATACTCTCTGGCCTATTTTAAATATCTCATTCGATTAACGAGATTTAATTGAAATAATTTATAATTCAATTTTTCATAATATTATGTTTAGCATGTGTGTATATTTATATACACACCTACAACACACACACAAAGGGCCATGATAAGATGAGAACTAGTAACTTCATGAGAATGTGTGAATTAATTTAATATATCCATCTAGGATGATCATGCATGGACTAGAAATTAATGAAAAATACGATGACATTCCCGTAATTACGATCGTGCATGTGAAAACATTTGATAATAATATATATATCTAAAGATAACTAATAGTACATTTAGGCTTTATAATAATGCACTCACGTTCTTTCAAAAAATAATAATAATAATAATAATAATAATAATAATGCACTCATGTATAACACTAGTAGTTATCTATGAATGTACTATTAATCTTTTCTCAATACACATCAATTTTTTCACTTCTAAACATTTTTAACCATTGATCATTTTAAGTAGTGTATATAAGATATTATTAATTAGTTCACACGTAATGAGAATATTATAAAATTATTTTCAATTGGTATTGGGGCATGTTACCAATTAACTAATTAGGTAGCACATGTGCATGGCTTCATAGTAGGGAAATCAATTAATTATTATATATGATTATCGTAGAATGCATGCAAAGTGCAATACCTTCATAAAACAACATAATATATACAAGCAACACCATAAAAAAAGTGAAATAATTATTAATTGCACCTAAAAGTCACACATTTAATTTTAACCAACACCTCTTTTGATGGAATATGTCATATAATATTTTCTTAGTATAATTCATCTTTCTTGTGTAGTATAGTTTGCAAACTATTACACATAAATAATAGATAAAACATGTCACAGAGATCTTTATATAATGCGATTTACCTTGCTTATATAATTTTCAAGCTATTAATATTCTAACGAGTATAATGTACTCGATGCATATCCACAAATAATGACTACAAGTTGCTTGTACGAGTTTAGCTCAATGTTAAATATGCAGTATTTAAAAGACGAGACCAATGTTCGAATCTCGCTATTTGGCTCTGTTTGCTGAGTGCTGAGCCATTGAGTACCGTCACGGCTGGAAAATAATGACTACAAGTTTTACTTGTTAAAAAAAAAATGAAATGAGGATAATTGCTAATTAATAATTAAAAATAAATTAATGAGTGAATAATCACCGTCCTCCCATCCTCCTCTTCTTTCTCTCCTTCTGCCACCCTATATATAAATTTTAGCACAAAAAAACATTACATCTAATTTATGTGTGCATGCATGCATGTCGCTTTCCACGTAGAATTAATATAACGTATTCGATCAGGCGTTTGAAAATAAAGAGGTGGTTGGATCACATTCATACGCTTTCGCTATCTCCCTCCCTCTCGATTCATCTTCTTCCTGAGAGAGGGAGACACCCATCGCCTCCGTCTCTCATATTATCTTCCCAACAATATAATAGGTATAATCTTTACATTGATGGGTTTGAAGGAATCTTGAATATCAGAGCATGGGTTTGTTATAAATCAGATGTTTTTAATTTTCATCATAAATTGTCTGCAGGTTTCGTTTCATGTCCGCTTATTCAATCTCTTTTGTGTTTGATTCTGTGTAGGTGTGGTGGGTGATTGATTAGCAGGGAAACGTTGGATTTACGCATCTTCATCAAAGATCAACATGCTCATGTTCCTCTGATTCTCGATCTCAGGTATGACCGGAAAGTGTTTGTTAAAATGCCTGTTCCAGATGTTGATTTTTTTTCATCAACAGTGTGTTTATCAGGTATTCTGGTTCCTGCATTGCTGGGGTGGTTCTGGTGCGTTCATTACAATGGGTGCTTGCGTGTCGACACAATCCCAGGCTTCCCAGCAGGTGGTTGGGTCGCGGAAGAAGCGCCTCTTCAAACGCCGCCATGGGAAGGTTGTTCCAGGTGCTGTTCCTGAGGATGCCAGGAAAATGGATGATTTTGTTCACACCACCACCACGTGCAGACGATCTGCGGTTTCTAACTCCATGTACCATCTTACCCAGCTGCAATGGCACAGCCAAAGAGGTTCCAATGGTATATATATATATGCCTTCTTTTTCCTATGAATTCACCCCTCATCAATAAATATACCTGGCAAGGTTACAAGTTCGACTCCATCCAACGAGACGGCCTATTGACCTTTTTGTTTGAGCCAGTCAGCTATAGGCAACATAGACTTGTTTAACTGGTGTCACAAGGCGAGGTTAATGGTTTACCTGGTCTGCACACCCTAAGATAGTGGTTGCGGGTTTCCCTCGTAGCTCAAACGGGGTTACTAGGTTTACCTGGTCCTTTGCTGGATGGGTTACAAGGTGGGATTTACCCAGTGCACACAATCAGATAGAGACTTGTTAAACTGGTGCCACAAGGCGGGGTTAATGGTTTACTTGGTCTGCACACCCTAAGATAGTGGTTCCGGGTTTCCCTCGTAGCTCAAACGGGGTTACTAGGTTTACCTGGTCCTTTGCTGGATGGGTCACAAGGTGGGATTTACCCCAGTGCACACACCCAGATAGTGATTGCGTGTTTTCCTCATTGCTAAAAATATATATATATATATATATATATATATATATATATATATATACATGAAACTAATGACAGAATGACATGGTTTCAGTAATTTGCCAAGAAGAGTCATGGTTTGACACTGCTAGCATTCTGGATTCTGAAGAAGATGATGACTTTAGCAGTGTTTATGGAGGTAATTGATGAACATAAAGTTGTGTGTTACATACAGTATTTGGTGTGGTCACTTTTGTGATTGTCTTCCTTTCTGGGTATAGATTTTTTCCCTGGCAGGCTAAGTGGGCAAGTGATACAATATGAAGTCCATGAAAGATATATAAAGCTGGATGGCAGCAAAACAGATAAACTTGCAAACAAAGATTTCAAGGAGCCAAAAGGACTTGCACTTTTAACTGCCCCAGCCTATGACCTCCAACCTGTGAAGAATCCTCAGGAGTTAGACCTCATAAACAAGAAAAAATTGGACCGCGGTTATGGCAGTTTTAATATCGTGACATCCAACAGACATGACCCTGCAACAGGCGATAATGTCTTGAAGACTGTCTTGCCTAAGCTGGGAAGTTCTGTGAGTTTCAATGACAAGATCATGTCTGCTTCAAATTCAGGAATTTGTTCTCAAACCCGGAAATCCACTGTCATCAGGCTATCTATAACGCAGATTAATGAATCACAAGAAGCTGCAGATCCCGTTTGTAAGTCCAATTGACGAAAAACATCAATCTTTTACTGTCCACAGGCATTCTCTGAATGTCTTTTCACTCTTGCAGGTACACCGAAAAAATACCTTTACCGTCCAAGAGCAGGACTCATAATTCCTTGCTGTACAGACGAAAAACAGCCCTCAGGAACTTGGTCTGCAATTGAGCCCTCAAATTTTAAGCTCAGAGCTGATACTTATTTTACGTATGCTCTTAACTTCAGCTTATCCGCCATTAACTTCAGGTTAGGCACAAAGTTGTGCAGTCTTTTCACATGTTCTTGTACTCAATTCTCTGCAGAGATAAGAAGAAAGCCCCTGCTCCAAATTTCTGTCCTTATACTCCTATTGGAGTTGATTTATTCAAGTCTCCGAAAAAGATCAATCACATTGCACAGCACCTCGAGCTTCCCCCGATGACACCAGATGAAAATCTTCCTTCATTACTCATAGTTAACATTCAGGTATGAAGAGATATAGCTTCTTGAAAACTACATGTTTAGTTAGGCAAAGTTCCTCATTTCTAGTTTTCCTCCAGCTGCCTAATTATACTGCTGCAATGTTCCTCGGAGATGGTGACGGGGAGGGCACGAGCCTTGTATTGTACTTTAAACTTAATGAAGGTTATGAACAAGACATCTCCCCACAATTCCAGGACAGCATTAAGGTAAATCTAATGTTGTATTTATGAAACAAGCCAAGTGTTCTTGCTGCCCCCATCAAAAGTCCATAATGTTTTCTCTTCCTTGTGATTTTGCTATGTGCTGAACTGCAGAAACTAGTTGAAGATGACATGGAAAAGGTTAAAGGATTTGCAAAAGACTCGACAGTTCCCTATAGAGAGAGGCTGAAGATCATGGTTGGGGTGGTTAATCCAGATGATCTCGTATCAACTTCAACCGAAAGGAAACTCCTGAATGCATACAATGAAAAACCAGTGCTCTCCCGCCCTCAACACGACTTCTTCCAGGTCCAATATCCACAAACAAACTACACCCCTCGCTTTCTAATACCATATTGGAAGATGTAAATATATATATATATATATAGTAAATCCTTCATTCCGGCTTTGCTGCAGGGTCCAAACTACTTTGAGATTGATCTGGACATCCATCGCTTCAGCTACATTGCAAGAAAGGGACTCGATGCATTCAGAGAACGCCTGAAAGAGGGGATTCTGGATCTTGGTTTGACAATCCAGGTTCTTGTTCTCTTTCCTGACATCTTTATATGTGTCCTAGGGTTGTTCCAGCTGCCCTGTATCTTGAAACTGAAAGATTGTTGTTTCTGGGATGATCATAACAGGCACAAAAACCAGAAGAGTTGCCTGAGACAATGCTGTGCTGTGTAAGACTAAACAAGATTGACTTTGTGGACAGAGGACAAATCCCAACACTGATGAGGGTTGAGGATAATGAGCAGTCTTCCCAGAGTGGCATCCGTGGACTGCTGACAGATGCTTGAGGAAATTAAATTAAATATATGTAATAATATATAGTATTAAAATAGGGTTAAGTGAAATAATTATTACTGTAACATACCATTATCAGGATGCAACTGCATGCAAGCAATTTTGGCCCTTCTTCCCCCCAAATGCAAACAATAAGAAAAGTTTTGCATTGGAATTGGTTTCTTTACATGAATCATTGTATGTGATCCATGTAATTTCTTTTGAATTCCATTTAAGTTTTCCAGTTGTGTTAAATGATTTTTTATTAATGTCTTCAAACACATTTAATCAAATAACACAACATCTTTGTCTACTCTTGTTTTTATTTATTTATTTATTTATGTTACAAAAGTATAGAGAAGATTTCTGAAATATAAATACATGGTAGAAGACTTCGAATATGAAACAAATTTTCATATGCCTACCTACCTAAGGGTCCGTTTAGAATGCAGGAAAATGACTTCTGGAAAATGGTTTCTGGAAAATGAGTCATTTTCCGGAAAACATTTTCCGTTTCCAGTGTTTGGTTGCATTTGATAAACTGTTTTGGTATGTTTGGTTCATTTTCTGAAAAATGAGTAGAATGGTATAATTAAATATTTTATTCTGAATAAAAAATACATTTTAATTCTTTATAATTAAAAAAATAATAATAATAATAATAGTAATTATTATTATTACTATTATTATGGCTTGAACTGGGTTCATGGCAAATTACAGGTACACAAGAAGGAAATCACAATCAGTACAAAAACCATTGTGTTGTACATATATGATTTACAAGAAAAGAAAAAAATGCAAATGGAGATTGTGAAAGTGTTGGACCCAAAATAATATACATTTATATAGTCTTCAATTTATCCACTTCCTCATCTAGGTTGTTCATGGTTGCGACAAGAATGGATTCCCAGAGGTGGTTCATGGTTGCGACAAGAATGGATTCCCAGAAGTCCTAAACGAAGACCAACAAATTGTTCAGTATAATACCAAAACGAGAAGGGCAGGCGATTAAATTCCTAAATCAGCAACTAAGAAGCTAAAAAAAAAAAAAAAAAATGAAATAGAAGTGGCGGAAAATGACTTCCGCCCAAATTTGTAATCCTGAGATATATCTTGTAATCCTGTTGTCACTGAGATATATCTTGTAATCCTGTTGTCACGTTTCAGTTAACGAAAACCTTTTCCAATCTGGTATCAGACTAGGTTCTTCGATCTCTCTCAAAACCTCCACCACAATTATTCCCCCTCTCTTCCCGCACCTCAAACAGCCATGTCTTCTGCTGGACCCGATCGCACGGCGTCAGACGGCCAAGCTCCGGCCGCCGGTGGCTCCCTCGCCGGAGCACACCACTACGTGACAATGAAACTCACGCTCAAAAATTATCTCTTTTGGCGTATGCAAATTGTCTCCTTCCTCCGTGGCCAGGAGCTACTGGGATTCGTTGATGGCACTCTTCCATGCCCGCCGGAGCTCATCGTCGGTACACCGGCGTCTGACGACGCGACGTCCAGCGCAGCCGCCCAGTCCGAAGCCCCGAATCCAGCCTTCAAAGCTTGGGTGCGGCAGGACCAGACGATCATCTCCCTCTTGGTGTCGTCAATGGCGGATGAGACGCTGCATCTGGCCCTTGGGAGGAACACCTCGGCCGAAATCTGGACTTCCATTATCGGCGCACTGGGTTCCTCGAGCCAGGCTCGCTGCTTGAATTTACTCTCGCAATTTCAGATGTTGAGGCAGGGGAATTCGACTACTGCGGATTATCTTGGCCGTGCCGGAGTGTTGGTGGAGTCCTTAATCCAAGCTGGCCGACCGTTGACCTTGATGGAGCAGAACCTCTACATCATCTGTGGCCTCCGTCCGGAGCTGAAGACGCTTGCGACTGCTCTCACTGCAACCGGCAGTCCCGTTACGCTATCTCATTTGTCTGACTATTTGCAGGCACATGAATTCATTTTGGTGGATGATTATCCATCGGTGGATAGCGGTGTGGTGCACACTGCAATGTATGCCGGCCCCGGGCGTGGAACGCATGGTTCGAATGGTGACCGGAATCACAACAGGGGCGGTCGGAATGCTACCAGCGGCGGTGGCGGACGGAGTCACAATCGCGGAGGCGGTCGTGGTGGCCGTGGGAATCCACGTTGTCAGATTTGTCGGTCACACGGTCACACGGTCGTGTACTGTTTTAAGCGTTACTCTACGCAACCACCTGCTCAGGCTCATGTAGCCGTGTCCGGAGAAGCACCATCATCATCAGCGTCACATGCTCCCGATGGGTGGTACCCCGACACCGGGGCCACTGCGCATGCAACCCCGGATGCGTCAATGATGGGGAATTCGGAAGAGTATGGTGGACCGGACGTGCTACGAGTTGGAAATGGGGCAGGTTTGGCGATCTCGCGAGTCGGTCACACGTCTATTCTATCCGAAACTAAAAATCTTCATTTAAACGATGTCTTACATGTCCCGCGTTTGTCTGTCCCGTTGTTGTCTGTTCATAAATTTACTAATGACAACAACGTATTTTTTGAATTTCATAACAATTCTTTCTTTGTGAAGGATTCCACAACCAAGGAGGTGCTGCTTAAGGGGTCCACTTCTGGCGGGTTGTACAAGTTTCCACAGTCTCGGTCACAATACGCGTTCGTCAGTTCCCGTACTACACCCACCGTTTGGCATAACAGGCTTGGACACCCGCACATTCAAGTGTTAAATAAAATTCTAAAAAATTGTCCTGTCACGATCAATAAAAATGTCACTCCAGAATCGTGTGCATCATGTCATCTCGGCAAGTCGTCAAGATTCAAGCTAGATAGTGTTTCCCATTCTAGTGCAAATGTACTCGATTTAATTTTTACAGATATTTGGGGTCCGTCCCCTGAATTGTCGAGTAGTGGTAATCGGTATTTTTGCTTATTTGTAGACGACTATTCCAGGTTCAGCTGGTTTTACCCATTAAGGGTGAAATCAGATATATATAAAGTGTTTGAGTCGTTTCGAGTTTTGGTAGAGCGGCAGTTTTCGCGCTCTATCAAGTCTATTCAGTCCGATCTAGGGGGTGAATACCGCAAACTCCACACCATTTTCCAAACCTTAGGTATAAATCATCGCCAGTCATGTGCCTATACACATGAACAAAATGGCACAGTTGAACGCCGTAACAGGCATGTAGTTGAAACAGGGCTCACATTACTTGCTGAAGGCAAAGTCCCGCAACAATATTGAGACTACGCTTTTGAAACAGCAACGTGCCTAATCAATTACTTACCGTCTTCCGCACTTAACTATGAAAGTCCCTACACTAAATTATTTAAAGTCCCACCACCCTATAATTTCTTACGTGTCTTTGGGTGTCGGTGCTACCCACATCTCCGTCTATACAATCGTCACAAAATCGAGTACCGGTCTATACCGTGTGTCTTCCTAGGTTACCCACCCTCCTTTAGGGGATACAGATGTGTTGACCTGGCGACCGGGAAAACCTATATTTGCCGCCATGTACGTTTTGACGAGGCTAATTTTCCTTTTGCAGTGGCAGGTGACTGTTCACAAGTCGCGTCAACACCGGAGGCACCTTGGGCGGTGGCACCCTTATGTCTACCCACACCAAGTGGTAGCCGTGTTACCCCACCCAGTCCTGTGCTCTCTGAAAGTGAGCCCATACCTCTAGCGAGGGATCCCCCTCAGTTAGCAATTACACAGACTGCTCCGGTAAGGCCTCGCAAAAGGCGTGCACAACCACAGGGTCGTGATCATGTTATGCGCCTTAGTCACATGACTAAAGGCACGACTGAGCCCTTTCATGCCTTGACGGCTGTTGCTGACCCAACTTGCTATTCACAAGCAGTGGGCCACCCGCACTGGCGCGAAGCCATGGACCAAGAGTTCAACGCTCTATTACATAATCAAACCTGGCGTCTGGTCCCTCCGGAGCCACATATGAATATCATCGGGTGTAAATGGGTATTCCGGACGAAGCGCACTGCAGATGGGTCAGTTGAACGGTATAAGGCTAGGTTGGTAGCTAAAGGGTTCAATCAGGTAGCAGGAGAAGATTTCTTTGATACATTCAGCCCAGTAGTTAAGCCCACCACAGTACGACTCTTGTTTTCTCTAGCCGTAACCAAACAGTGGACTCTCCGGCAACTAGACGTTCACAATGCTTTCCTCAACGGGCATTTAGCAGAGACTGTTTACATGAAACAACCACCGGGGTATGAGGATCCATCAACACCCGGGCACGTGTGTCATTTACAGCGGTCATTGTATGGACTCAAACAGGCTCCACGGGCCTGGTTTAAGCGGCTTCACGATTTCTTACTGTCTGCGGGTTTTCAAGCGTCAAAGACGGATGTGTCCTTATTTTATTACACTGCAGGTGTCTCACGTGTATACCTACTAGTCTACGTCGATGATATTATTATGATGGGCAACGACAGTACACTAGTAGACACTATCCTCCAGCGGCTTGCTTCTACGTTCAAGATTCGAGACCTAGGCTCACTGGGTTTCTTCTTGGGTATCGAGACAGTATCTTCCTCCACTGGCGTGTTTCTGTCTCAACGGCGTTATATGACTGATCTGCTGGGGCGTTCGGGCATGGCGGACTGTAAACCGCTTTCTACCCCGGCTGCGGTCACAAAGGCTGCTTCACCATCCGAACAACCTTTTGACAATCCTACTCAGTATCGGCGCATTGTGGGGGCTTTGCAATACTTAACTATTACAAGGCCGGACTTGAGTTTCGCAGTCAACCGTCTTTGTCAGTACATGCATTCACCTACGGATGAGCATTGGGGCTTGGTAAAACGAGTCATGCGGTATGTGAAAGGGACTCTGAGTTATGGTTTACGGATATCGGCGTCTGCGTCATCTGACATCCACGCTTATTCGGACTCCGACTGGGCTGGGTGTCCTGTGGATAGGAAAAGCACGAGTGGGTTTGTGGTCTACTTGGGTGACAACTTAATCTCCTGGCTCTCGAAGAAGCAGCGCACTGTGGCTAGGTCATCCACTGAGGCTGAGTACAAGGCCCTGGCAGATGTCTCGGCAGAAGTTACTTGGATTGTTTCATTGTTGCGAGAGCTTGGGTTACACTCAGGGAAGCCTGCAACGCTATGGTGTGACAACCTTGGGGCCACCTATCTGTGTGCCAACCCGGTTTTTCACGCTCGTACCAAACACGTTGAAATCGACTATCATTTTGTTCGTGACAAAGTGGCTTCCGGTGATTTTCTAGTTAATTACGTTTCTACGACAGACCAGCTTGCGGATATCTTCACGAAGCCGTTACCAGCACCGCGGTTCGCAGCTATGCGTGACAAGCTCAATGTTGTAGCCCTCCAACCTTGTGCTTGAGGGGGTGTGTTAGCATAAGGAATTATTATTATTATTATTCATTTCTATTGTATTGTTTTAATATTATGTGGCTTAGGTAGATTGACTCAGTTTAGCTATCTATTAGGATTAGTTACACTGAGATATATCTTGTAATCCTGTTGTCACGTTTCAGTTAACGAAAACCTTTTCCAATCAGGCATGCATATATATAATCCAGCACTCGAGTCGGGCTACCAACAAGTACCTAACTTGGAATCAATCATTATACCGTGTACCAAGACGCACATAGTAATGTGTGCCTTGCGCCTCCCAAAACGATGTCGTTTTGTTAATTTTAGGTATAAAATTCTGTACATTCTATTATATAATTCTGTACATTCGAAGCATGGAAATTTTCAATTATAAAATTCTATGTTTCCAGGTATAAAATTATGTGTTTTCAGGTATAAAATTATGTACATTCTATTATATAATTCTGTACATTTGAAACATGAATTTTTTTTTAAAGAGTTAAGAGTTTATGTGTATTATGTTAAGAGTTTATGTATATTATGTATTATGTTAGATTATGTGTATTATCCTTTCAAAAAAGATTATGTGTATTCAGTTATAAAATTCTGTGTATTATATTATACAATTATGTACATTTGAAACATGATTTTTTTAAAGGAATTAACAGCAGACACGCGAAAAGGTACAAAACGACGTCGTTTTGGGCAGAGAGCAAAATGCATTGTGCGCCCTGGTGCACGGTATAATTTTCCACCTGGAACCACCTCAAGAAGTCCAACGGGTAGAATCATTTACTACGGGGTCATTTACTACCGCTCATTCAAGACAGGGTTTAAGAAAAATAAAGTGCTCAGCTCCTCATTATGATGTAACCGTTACTTATTGTTAGGAGACAAGTATAAGTAGGGGATTCTTTGCTGAGCAGCGATACATTCTAATTCTTGTACTAAAACACTTAGGTAATACAACTTGTACTCATCGATTATATTCTCCGGTAACATATTTACTGTGGACACTATATATGTTTTTTCTTTACAAATTGTTCTTTTTTTCACTGGAGGTGGAGCATGACTGTTTGGAGAGCAGCCCCATTATATTGAATTTGAACATTTATTTAGTTGAGAAAATGATTTTTAAGAAATTAGGAGCGTTGGTGTTAATGGTTGCAGTCCAACAAGTCCAAGTTAGGCAAGTAGGCCTATACTAGGAGGGTACAATGAACAATTTCCACCATAGATAAATGATACTAATAATCTAGAGGGGAAGTGATACCAAGTTAGGCAAGTAGGCCTATATTTAGAGGGTACAATGAACAATTTCCACCACAGATAGATGAGACTAGAGAGGAAGTGTTACAATATATAATGACTAGAGAGAATTCGCTTTAACAATAAATTAAACTTGATTCAGATACAATTAACTGTTTATAAATTTTCTTTTGATATATAGCTAAAAATCTCATACAATGTTATTGAAAGAAATATTTACACATAAGAATCCATTTGTTGATGGTATTATTTACTCCGATCCCCTTGACATATGTGATAGGGTCATTAGCCCCATGATAAAATAACGCTATAGTTCTTGTTATATTAGCAAGGCAGTCTATTTCTAAGTCTGGTTATTCGGAGTGGTTTTACAATCTTCCTTCTATCATTTGTAATGTTCTGTCTTTAGACTTGAATTAATTTGAAGTACTTTTCTCAAAAAGAACTTAATTAGAATATATATGGATAGAAGTGAAAGGAAAAAGGTGATGAGATTGATATCATACTGCTCTGATCTGAACTATATACATACAGCACAATAATGATATGATACATTGTATGTATTGATGCATGTATATATACATCACATCGCCCTGCCAAATTTTCACTTCATTCTTTTAACATAAAAGAAAGACACTTCATCTCATCTGCATTCTATGGATCATAGCTCGAATCATGCATGCAGCTTGACTGGAACTTTAATCTGATCTCTTGTCTGTTTCTTTGTTTCAAATTAAGGTGACAAAAACCCTTAAACAGCATTAACATCAACTTAACGTTGTATATATGCTGTCTGTTATATTTGCTTGATCTGATGAGCTTTAATTTCTCCCCAAAGAAATGGAGGGTTCGTAGTTCGTACGCTCTGATTTCCATGCATGCAGTCCTCCTTCCTTCTTAGTTCATTCCAAGTTAGAAATTCTCTGCAGAAAAGTACAAAATGCAGAAGTTTAGGTAGGGTGGAATTTTTGTAATTTTACGGTTATCTAACTAACTTTACCTACCTCGGGAGAATCGGGATCTCCGAGCAGCTTGTCGGGTTTTGCTGTCCTGTCTTGCATTATCACATAATCTGTTTGTTTGATGGAATAATGGTCCTATTAGCCCAGTCCTTCCATGCTGATCTTCATTATCCTCCTGTATGTAGATTCATTGAGTTTGTCTCATATATGGATTAGGAATATGAGTTTGTTAGATCTCTGTAAATATATTTGATTGTATTCTAAGGGTTGTGTCACCATTATTATTATTATTTCTTGTTCTTGTTAATCTCAACATTAATTACCTGCAGTGATGATTTTCGGGACTGAAAAATCTCGGATGAGTCGAAGGACTGCATTCGTCCGGCTTTCAATCGTTGTTTGCGGCTGGCGCGTTTCTCGGCGACGTTGTCTGGGCTTCTGTCTGACGAATCAAACGATACTCGCTTGGATTGCGGCGCGGAATAATAAGGATCTGCTGTTCCGATGATGTTATTCGGTTTTTGGTTTTTGTTAGTATGCGTTGTTCTTGAGGAAAAAGAAGAAGAATCTGCAGGCTTTTGGGTTTTCGTCGTCCTCGCCGCCGCCGTTTCTGGAGGGGCGGAGCAAACGGTGTCGGCCAGAGATAACTCCGTCGGCGCCGCAGAAACATCGGACCTCGTATCATCGTACGATGGCTTTGTTGACGACACCCTTGACGCGGTGGCTACTTTAGGACCACTACCGCCGCCGCCGTTGTTGTTTCGTCGCGAAAAGTGAACACTCACCTCCACCTCCTACGGACGACGGTGAGTGAGTGACTGAGTGCGATACGCATATACATACAATAAATACATTGAGAGAGAAAGAGAGAAGAGAGAAGAGAGAGAAACCTCGTGGGGAACAACTTTGCTGAAGCTGCTGGATTCTTGCAGAACTTTCCGACCTTTTCTCGGATTCTTGGAAGAAGCCGCCGGCGCTGCCACCGCCGCCGCCGATCCTCTCGCCGCCGTAATTGCCTTCTTCCTGTAAACGCAGCCACTACCCATAATCAGAACAAATAAACTCCAAATTTGAATTCATCAGTCACTAGTCACTGATGAAAATTATGAAATTTTCTACTACCTGATCTTTAACTTGTTCCGACCACTTTTGATATTCGAAAAAACTTTTGTTGCTATTTACGACCACTTTTTTACTTTATCACTTCAGGTGGTCGAAAATTCCATAATTTTCAGTTGAGTTATGAACAATTTATGACATATAGAACACATTATAATAATCAACCTAATAGCATCACCTTCTTTCTTCATCCCGGAGTTTCGCATCCATCTCCTTGTTCGGCGGGTACTTCTCCAAGCTCGATGGATCACAAGCATAAGGCGGCGAATTGAAATACTGAAACATCAAAACATTAAAAAAAACAAAAAAATTCAGTTATATTATGGCAATTCAAACAATATAAATCTCCAAAAACTCGACCATATATACCTGGGAATGGAGAGCAGATGAAGCTGTTCCTCGTTTATAAGGTTCCACAGAAAGAAGCGTCTCCAAAAGATCCACGGCGGCTTTGGGTAATTCTCTGCATCTTTCCCGGAGCATACTCTCATAAGGATGTTGCGGTTTGAATACAGTTGCTAGCGGAAGTTTGGATTTTTTCCAGTAATCCTCCGGCGGGGAACCGCAAAGCTTAAAGATTTTGTGCAGTTGCTCCACCTGCGATAGAAACAGGAAAATCTGTTCAGAAAACACCAAAAAATTAAACACCAAGATATATAAAACATAGGAAAATCTGTTCTGCTGACAACCTCGGTTCTTCCTTTAAGGAAAGGTCTGCCGGAGAAGAGTTCGGCGAAAACGCAGCCGGCGCTCCACAGATCAACCGTCTCGCCGTAATTGGTGGAGCCCAGAAGCAGCTCAGGTGGTCGGTACCAGAGGGTGACCACGCGGCTGGTCAAAGGTTGCTTGTTCCTCGCGCTCACGAAGTTGGCGAGTCCGAAATCTGCGATCTTGAGAACTCCCTCGTTGCTTACGAGAATGTTGGAGACTTTAATGTCGCGATGTATCACCCCTGTCGTATGGCAGTGCTCCAGCCCCGACAGCAGCTGCTTCATGTAGCATTTTATCTGCTCCAAAAAGATTGGATTTTTATATATGAGACAAACTCAACAATCTCTACCTTGGCGAATATGCATTCTTAATCCATATATGAGACAAATTCAACAGAAATAAACACTCAATGGAAACAATGTTGAGATGTTATGAGCAGACCTGGGATTCAGTGAAGGAGATTTCAGGACAAGACAGCAGTCCGGCAAGATCATGTTCCATGTATTCAAAAACGAGGTAAATGCTGCATGATAATCGGGAAGTAATTATGCCCAGCAGCTTCATGATATTCGGATGATCAAGCCTGCGGAGAATTGTGATTTCTCGTGCCATGAATCTCACACTCTCCGGATGGAAGTTGTCGAATCGAACCTTTTTCAGGGCCACCATTTTGCCACTTTCATTGTCTCGTGCTCGGTATACTGTGCTATATGTACCTTGTCCAATCTATACAATTTCAACCACATATAAAAAAAAAATTAATAGTCATTATCCCAGAATGTACATTAAGCCATTAATGAATTTCACCTTATGATGTGATACAATCACAAGACTTAGGTGGTGTGCAAGACTTTTCAATCAGAGATAGTCTTGTCTATGTTTGGCCAGATCATCAAAGATTTGAAAGAAGTTTAAGGATCCCTACTTTCAATTTGTAAAATGAATCAAGTTTTCAGTAGCTTAGCTAAGAAGTTGTTTCTGTGTAGACTATAAGGAATGACTTATCATTCCATTTGAACTTTGTTGTAAACGTTCCTAAATATGATTAATGAATTTACTTTAAAAAAAAAAAACGAGTGATAATAATCACAAGACGCTGGTAAATTAACCTCAATTCAAATCAAGAGCTTGGTCCCTTGAATTGAGTCATTACTCAAGATTCAAGAGTATACGTTAGGTAAATTTCGACTAATTTGGTTGAGATTGTTCGGTATTATTGAATCATTTGAAAGTAAACATTATTATATGATAATGATGATTACCTTATCTAATCTCTGAAACATGTCAGCTCTAAGGGGAAGCCAACCGTCAATGGCGTCTCCGGCGACGGAAGAGAGCCAGGCGGGCCAGCCGGCAGTGACAGACTCGCCTGCCGGTAACCTCCCAACGTAGTTAAAGCTAAACGAAGCGTCGTTATTTTTGGAGTTCTCCTTCTTCAACACCGTCAAATTCCCGGACTGTCGGCGGGCGGCGGAGGAGGAAGAAAATCCGGTGGGTTCCGCCTGTTTGTCCTTCTCAGGCTCCTCCTTGGAGACTACGAGCCCGCCGGATTTGCCCTTATCCAAACCCGACAACTGAGACGAGGAAGACGACCGTGATCTATTTCCGCCGCCGCCATTCCGGCCGGAGAAAGAATCGCGACGGGGGAGGATGTCGGAGCGTGCCTGCTTGGAGCTGACGCACCCCATCACGACGATCCCCCAAAACCCATAAAACGCAAAGGGTTATCGGATTTTGGGAGATCGATCGATCGGAGCCGGGAATGGGGCTTCGGGTTATGGGAGTTCTTCCCCAACCGACATTACCCACTCATCGGGTCTGCGTTAAAGTATCCCATTGGACAAGAAATGAGAGAACCAAAACGCAGAACACCGGAAATTTGTTATGGAAAAACTACGACGAAACACTGCCCCTGTTGTTCGGAGGGTCAAAGGTTTCTCTCTCTCTCTCACCCTCATTGGTCAGCACCCGACAAATGCGGGGACATCAACATCGACTTCTCCGAAACCACTGGAACTAATCTCATCTTCTCCCCGTCCTTTTGTCTTTTTGCTGTCGTATTTTTGCCAGGGAAAATAATATTAAAAAAATTATTAAAAGCTCCTAGAAGTCGTTATTATTCCCTTTTCTTTTTCTTTTTCTTTTTGGCGGTAATTTTATTTATCTTTATCTATATTAATTATTAATTATTAATATTACTTAATATTACAAAAAAATCTTAGTTTAAATTTAAACATTAATATTTGTTAGTAAGGGGATAGTTATGCTGTGGAAACGTGTTCACCATGCAAGATCCATAATTTCTATATTGTAAATTTATATTTTTTTTTAAAATATAAATTCATGATTTTGTTTTTCATTTGTTGTTAACGGGATAAATCCATAATTTCTAAGCTGTAGATTTATAATTTCTATACCGTAGATTCATAATTTATGTATTATAGATTCATAATTTCTATAATGTAGATTCATAATTTCTGTACTATAAATTCATAATATCTGTAACAACAAATGAAAAACAAAATTATGAATCTACGTTTTCAAAAAAAAAATATTATAAATCTACAGTATAGAAATTATGGATCTATGGTGAACACGTTTCCACAGCATAATTTGCGTTATTAAAGGGGTGTTTGGTTGGGAGGAAGGAAAAGAATTGCAATTCGGTGGAAAAGAATAAGATATGAATAATGAAAAACTATACATTAGCCATACGTACAAGATAGAAGCTTTTCAAATATACATTCATATGCTAATAGTTTAAAGCTTACAGATGATCAGTGATTACTGTTCATATTGGCAGAAAGGAACAAAGGCAAAAGTGTACAAGTTAAAGGGAACATTTTACAAATCTGATCTGTCTAAAGAGGAATTCTTCTGTACAAAAAGAAGAGAAAAAGTGAAGTTCACAAGAGATGTAATAAAGCAAGTGCTTTTGCCTCTACTGAGATACTGTATGGGATTCTCTTCTGCAATTTGCTCTTTCAGATCTCTGTTCCCAGCTACGCGGCTACCAACTTTTGAATGCTGCTCTTATTAGTTACGCTATGATTGTTGTTTGGTGCGTTTGGGGTATCGTGATTATGTTTGCCTTCGTATGTGGTTATAACCGCTTTTGGATCTGCTGAAGCCCTTTCGACGTGTTTTCGGACATTGCATCCTTTGTATGTACACCGATAGTAACTCCTGCAGTTTCAGTTTGAAAGCACAGAAAACGGTTCATCGTTCATGCGTTTTAGGCTAGAACTTTATAGTTTGATGCTTGTATCACTTCTGTTGAGATTAACAAGAACAATAAACAATAACAATGGCAGAAAAGTAAAGAAGACAAGATTTACGTGGTTCGACAATGTGTCTACAGGTCTATCCTCTTCACTCCTATTCCAGATATGAGACAAACTTATATTCATAATCTCTATATGAGACAAACTCAACTTCCACGTGAAATGGCATTGAGAAAATGCTGTTATGCCATGGAAGTCAACCACAAAACGATTTGGATGTGGGAGCCGAGTATAAAGTAACGAGTAAGCGGAATATCAGCACATAAAAGACGAGAAATACCTTGGATTAGCATTCCCCTTCACCACTTTTTGTCCATACTTCCGCCACTTGTAACCATCGTCCAAAAGGTCAACTTCGCTTCTTGTCTGCACAATGATTTTGGGTTCCATGACGGTCTTGTGAGATGAGCCAGCCTCTGAAATCCTGCACTCCGTATTAAGTAAAATCAGATACATATTTGGGGGACGTTTCTTTTTGGCCCGTAATTCTGTGACCAAGAAAGCGGTAAGACAGATGGAGAAAAGAACGAAACATATCAAAGGCATATATACCGTCTCTCTGCATTTGGTTCCCCGTCATCCTTTTCATCTAATACTGTTGCGGTTTCCTCCATTTCATTGCGTTTAGATGCGACCGAAAGTTGTTCAGACCGCAGTTTGGTGGATACAGTCTCTGGTTGAGAACATACCACCTTATTTGACCTGTTCGTTTCAGTCCAGCTACGAGAACCACTTTGAGGCTTTTCTCGGGAGTTGTCCTCCCTAGACTCTCGATCACAGTCATCTAGCTTTCGCTTGTTGGACTTGGGAATTTCATGGTTATGCTTGCCCTTATACGTGATCTCAATTATGTGCCCATCTGGGGATCGCTCAACCTTCTTTCTCACAGCACAGTTCAGGTGAGTACATCTATAGTAGCTTCGGGGACATTCACTTCCCTTAACCAGCTTCTGCCCGTATTTCCTCCAATTATACCCATCACTAGCAGGCTTCTCAATAGCACCAGAACTAACTTTGCCGTCTACTTGAGACAGCTCCGACGTCTCAACCTTCAAGCTCTCTGGGTCCAACGCCACATTAGCCGCTTCACCTTGCACCCCCTGGTTTGGCATAGAAGACGAAGTTTGGTGCCCCGCACCTTCCACAGACGAAGAATGCTGATATTCCGCTTGCATTTGTTTGTAAGAATGGTTAAACGCCGCCTGAGCCGTAACATGAGCTAGGGCCTGCTGGTGGGACATTCCAAAAGGGCTCTGCTTGAAATTCAAAGACACAACAAACCACAAAATGCCAGTGAATCAACACTTGGACACTCGGATCATAGCATGTTTAGCAACCCGAAAATATTATATGTACTCCCATTCTATACTCCCAACTTTTACTCCCACACTTAAAATATTGATGTAGACACTTTTACGGGGGCCACGTGAAGAAAATGACCAATCAGAACCCGCCACATTAAATTTAAGAGAGTAAGATTTGGGAGTACATGTAGTAGAACTCTTAGCAACCCATAAATCCAACCAGAACCCAGATTTTGTTCACCAGTGAGTAAATACTAAGTGCTTGTTCATCCAAGCTCTTTCAAGGCTTATCTAGTTATCTATCCCCAAAAGTATATGCAGAATGATATGTTAATGGGAAAAACACCAACCAAATTGGTCGGGTTATTAACTTGATAATCACAAGATTACAAATTCGACTTCCGGAGAATAAATCATATGTTAAAAGAACACAAAATTTCAGTGAATTTTGAATATTTAAGTGAATTGCCTGGCAATTAAGATGAAGAAGCAGCAAAAGCACAAAATCGCAGACCTAATAAACCAAGAACAAAGCTTTTAGTGGTAACCTAATGAAATTGAAAGAATTGAGTGAATTACCTGAAGTGGGGAAAGAAACCCCGGCGAATTGAGCAGCCCGGAAGGACTGAACCGCGGCGAGACCATGAACAACGGCGACTGAGCCACCAGCAAGCTCATCGGCTGTTTCTGCTTATACCCGGAAAGCTTCTCGGAACCCGGACCCGAATCCCCGACTTTGAGGGGGTTATCGGGCAGAAGAGTTGGGTTTGCGAGTGGGGAAGCCATGGCTCCGGCGAGTAACTGAGAGAAAGAGCAGGCATCGGAGTCGGAGAAGAAGCTGGACATGAGAGTCATGGGTCCGGGGCTGAAACCGGGTATGGACCCGAGTGCGAAAAGGGTGTCGAAGGGGGCTCGGGGCGGGATTGTAATCGTCGGACGCGGCGGCCCCGAAACCGCAGAAACTCCCTCTCTGCTTTCCCCCATTCCGATGATTCCTTCTTCTGGGAAATTCTTGTGCTTTTTGCGGCGGATACCTCTTTTTGGTTTTGGTTTTGGTTGCTTTCGTCCTTATCCTCGTTTTCTTCACTGTTCTTGTATTTGTCTCTTTTCATGGGACCTTTCTTTCATTCATACAACAAATCTTAAATGCCAACTTGCCATTTCCTCAATCAAGTGGGTCATTTAGTAACTGACAAAGACTTTAAGTTTGACTTTCAATGATATTTTTTTTTGGAACAGGAAATAGTACTCAAACTTTTACTAATACAAGTCTTCAGTACAAGAGGGAAGAGAAGTTAATCAACATAAAGGTGACCGGGCAGTTTTAGTTAAAGCATAGAAAAGCTTGTTCGCTGATCTACAGAGAAATTAGATAGATATTAATTTAAAATGTCGTCAAAAATTTTAACACTCACTAATCACACATCATGCATAAGAGTAATTCGGTAAATTACTGTTAAAAAGATTGACAACAGTTTGCAATAACTTTTAATGATTACTTAGAGCATCCTTAATAGTAGTAAATTTTTTGTGATTTTTGTCAGGTCACATGTACAAGTAAGAGAGAGAAGGGGGAGAAAAAAAAAAAAAAAAACCAACAGTGAACGGAGAGTGTTTCATTTGACTTTTGATTGGGACTCACCAAGATTATTGATTTGCATGAGAAAAATTCAATGAAAAGTCATGCTCTCCATTTGTCAAAAATCAATGCATGATTTTTTTTACAAAAACCAACAAACAATCTTAAATGGAGATGCTCTTGTCTATTATTTTGTAACTTATTGGTTTGAATTAATTAGCTATAGATAATCCAAATTGATTTCCTTTTATCGGTTAGCCGGTTAAAGTTACTATACAAGCCTCACTCACGGTACCGCTTTCAACTAATAAAAATTAGTATTTATTATGGGACATTGTATTGTTGATGCAAGAAATATCAAATGCCAACTTGATCATATGAAATAGACAACTCAATAATTGGAATAAAAACACTATTTGGTTTCAAAAAGTAATTCTAATAGCGAATCAAAATAGTAAATTTGTTTCGATTATTTTCGGTACTCATACATAATTAACTTGACAAAAAAAAAAACACTAAATCAAAACATTCCTATTAAATTAGCTTGACAAAAATGCACGAGATCAAAACACCCAAATCAGCCATGGCACAAGTTGAAAAGCTTTATTAACTTAATTCAATGAATTTTGAATGTAAATTCAATTTAAAGTTGACAACTTTGTTCCAAAACTATAATTTATCATACCCGTTTTATTGACTCAGTTTCATTAGCAGCTCGCTTACAAATTGCCCTATGGTTAATTTTCGGTTTATTTGTATTTCTTCAATCAAGTCTTCTTAATAGGTATTGAACCTCAACTTCCTTTGTCAATGGCATGACCCAATCCCCATACAGATTAGCAGCAAAGATTGGATTTATTTTGTACTTTGGATCATTCTTGCTCTCCTCTTCCATGTCAATGGTAATCTCTTGACAGTGCTCTCTAACCTTCATCTCTACTCTCTTCTTTACCAGTTCTTCAACTTCTGGGCAGGTCAGCAATTGCATAAGCCTATTCCTGTCCTGAAGAGAGAGTTACCATTTTCAGAAAACCATGAACACAACTTTTTTTTCGAGTGACGAGGGACCCACAACCACTACTCGAGGGTGTGCACTGGGTAAACTCTGTTTTTTGACTCTAGTCAGCAAATGACCACAAACCAATCTAGGTTGCCCATAGCTGACCGGTTCAAACCAAGAACTTGTAACATTGTGGTTACTAAGTCAACAGTCTGACCAACTTGGCTGGAGTTGCCCCAAGGCAGATTAATCTTGAAAAGATATAAGAGACACAAAGATCTTAGGAAAAGGACATACTTTTGCTCTGATTGCAGCCTTATAGAGGTCCGGTGAAGCTTGAAATTTGGCTTCTGCAACGAATTTGCCATAATGAATTCTCTTCGAGAGGACCTGCATATAGGTTTAGCAGAAACCGTGGAATGGTCAAAACACGAACGCTAAGCACAATCTGTCAATAATCTCAGTTTTCAGCTCATTTAGATCAGCCATACACATCTTAAGCACGTACCTGCAGGCAAAGACTGTCACAAACAGCAGCGGATCCACAATTACCATCGTCGCCTTCTTCCACTAACCTTGGAAGAAGCTTTCTGAAATACACGTCCCATATTTTGGCATTGATATTGACCGAAGCAGCATTTGGGTGTAGAACCTGCACAGATACTATATCGTAATTATGAACAGATACTGTATTGTAATAGAGTCAATAGTATTCAAAAAAATTAAGTCGTAACTGATAGAAAGGCCAAAGGCCATCGGGGATATAGACAACGAACTAATGATAACGTGAATTGTTTAACTTCCCGAACACATCTATGTTTACCTGTGGGTGTTGAAGGGGTGGCAATAGTGGTTCGGGCAATTCAAGCGGGAAGAAAGGATGCTCATCGGGGTCCGAATACCTTCCAACCTAGGCATTTCAAGAATCAGAGAATTATATATACATATAACTAAGTATGGAGTATCGGGCTTGATTTATACAAAGAAATGAGCTAAAAAAAAAAATACTTTGGCATGAAGCTTTTCGGTTTCTTTAATATGTACTCCACCAAAGAGCCACGGAAACCATCCATCACAAAAGCATCAGGGTCATATGTATCCGGGTTGTAACGATACTGAGCTCTCTCCACAAGGCCGGATATAATGCTATCCTCTAATCGAACTAAAGATATTCTTACACCCTCTAGTGTGTAATTCCCTGTCTCGTCTACTCTGCTCTTCGTTCCCGTTCTGAAAGCAATCAAAAGAAAAAGTGGTTTAAGCGAATTCGAAGCCCAAGTTCGATCATGTGTCCTTGCCTACAATCTACGAAACCAACTAAATTGCCCGTGCGGGCAAAAACCTATGATTCTTGACTTGGTTAAGGTGAAATTCTGGAAGACAAACATTCATACCCAATTGAAGCATGTGCTCCATCTCAACTAAAAGCCTAATCTTTTGCATGACTCTGATACCAAATTGAAGGCATGTGCTTCATCTCAACTAAATGTCTAAGCTGATAGTTGGATTGCACTTTAATGATTATATGCTCAACATACCCCTCCACATAATACCAAGATAGAGATTCATACAATTGTCTGCTACATGCTAAGAAAGAACTTGAAAGCTTAATCTGTTCTGACACTAAAACCTTGCTGATCTGAGCACAATTTATAAACTCTATATATTATGCACAGTAAATTGCATGTTTCTGATGCTTTGCAGAAGAAAACCCAAACTCAAAGTCACAAGAAATCGAAGAATTTCCTTAAATTCTGACACATTGAGAAGCGGACAACAAATGGAAACATTTCTTAACAGCAAACAAATCTCAAACAAACGAAACCCAAAGAGAAAAAAGACAAAACCCCTTTCACTTTGCCTACAATCTATCGTTAAACCAAGAATCTGGAAATCAAGAAACGATTTTTAGAAAACTTACCGCCAATTTTGAAGCGGTTGAGGTGAGGGAATGCTGTGCATAGCCCTGCAGCTTGAAATGAGAAATCGAAAGGTGCAATCTTGACGGCAGCTCCGGTGGGCTAAAAGCTTACTGGGAATTCTGGAGATATTTCTATGGGTTGGAATGGCGGCAGAGGTGATGCTCAACAGCTTTGCCTCCATTCTTAGTAGAAACTAGAAAATAGAACACAGAGCCTGGAACCCAGTGCAAACAAATTGTTATATTCATAGATTACTATATATGATCATTTTTTTTAAATATTAATTTATTTCTATACCTATAATTTGAACAATATTTTTGAGTTATTACATTTCTTTTTCAACGCTTATTATCATGTATATCAACATAATTGTATTATTTGTAACAGTTTCTAGAGTATCATCATGTATATCAACATGATTGTTTTATTTGTAACGATTTTTAAAGTATTATCATGTATATCAACATGATCGTGTTGAATATTATTTGTAACGGTTTCTAAATGCATATGGTATAAATGTATAATAAATAATTAATTAATTATGTCAGAATATATGTGAGTATAAATGTATATGACACCCGTATCAATCAGTATGGTAGATTTTTTTTCACTTTATATAATATCATATAAGTGCTTTACTTAATTGGGATTAGGTCATTACTAATTAGGATTTACCGTATCATATTGAATTAATTGTGTTATCTAATGAAACGGCAAATGATGATCCACACAGCTGTGTGGACTATGTTAGAATAGTGAAATTTTTTGAATAAGATAATGTATTTTATGAGTTAGAATAATATACATTATGAGTTATAAAAATGTATATTACAGTGAATTGTGTGAAAAAAAATTACGCGAAACGATTTCGTTTTTGAATCGTGGTCCACACAGTTGTGTGATCCACTGTCGACGCAATAACTATTATAATGAAACATGATGGGCTTTGGGGTGGGACTTTTGGGCTTGTGGAACTTATAGAAGGATTTGGTAAAATGTCACAAATTGTAAACTTATGAGAGTATGATCAATTGATAACGAAGGGTAGATATTTAATTTCATATCAACTTTTCTCTAATGGCACGTTTGGTTCGTGGAATAGACCTAGAATGGAATAGCGTTAGTGATCATGAGGATCTCTTATATTATTATTATTTTTTTTAAAAAATCAATCAAAAGATAACTTTATTAAATCAACGAGACAATACAATCAAATACGGAAGAATACCAACAAAAAGGAACAGTATATGAACAAGCTGCCCTAGTCAAGGTATGTGCAGCCTTATTCACTGATCTATAAATAAACCGAATAGACACTACTTCAAAGTGTCGTTTTGACATTCTCAGAGAATACAACCTACGAAGGAAAAATCTTGCAAAGAGTCATTTAGCATATTACACACCATCTGACAATCTGAATGAATAATCACACGCTGCAGATTATTATTAATAAACTTAAATCTGTTAGCAGTCAAGAGTGAGTCACTCTTGAGAATAACATTACAAAAATCCATTTCTCAACAAAATAAAGGCTCATGATCAATCATTCAAACTTCTGTTATGGAGCTCAGCGCAATTCCAACCTCATATGTAAAATAAGATATTCAT